GGTGTCTGCCAATGCTGCCGCTTGACTCTCCTTGCCTCTCGTTCTTGCTGCCACGATCTGTTCCAGAAGTGTGTCCACAAACAGTTGTCCATACATGCGAAACAATGGCAGTGAAAACTCGTAGGAACTGACTTTGCTGTCTGACGGCAGGAAGAAGTGGTACTGTGTAATAAGCATACCGTGCAAGTTCTCCAAACAGGGCGCCACGTCCTCTGCATCATTCTTATATGTTTTCTGGCAGTGCATCGAATAGCTGAGAATGCCTCCATTACTTGTTCCAAATATTTTCTTGATGTAGTCTAATTTCGCTTCTGAAATTTCCTGGTCCATGTACTCCTTTAGCTGGTTTATTTCCTCGGCCAAACTGTTGTATACGTCCTCGGGATCCAGACCTCCCCCTCCAAATAGTTCCGCGATTCCCTCGAACATGGCGCCCAGTATAGTCCCCACCACTGGTATTTGTCCAAGGACATTTGCACCCAGGACTATGGCGAATTGACGGCCTGCGTTAGCGGCGTCGGAGGTCTTCTCTACCAGCCCAGTTGGTTTCATCTTTATCACGTCTTCTATCGGGCCAGAGTATTGCAGATTAAAGCAATGGAAGGAATTCTGAGCCAGAATGACTGGGGTCACTCCACATATAGTAAAAAAGAAGATCCACAAAATGTCTTGACGGTACATCTTTGGTTCTGTAATTAAGTGTTTAAGAGTAAGTGTCCTTGAAAGTGATTATTACCTATAATACTGCTATTACTACAATACTTTGGTTACTGTTACAGAAAAAATGGCCTGTTTGTTTGTTCATAAAGTTGTACCAAAGAACAGTGAAAAGTAAACATCCCTCACATCAAACAGTTGTTCATAAATATTTTTTTGCGCATTGCAAACGCATTTGAAGGAGAATAAACAAGCTCACAGTTTCTCTCGAGCATCGCTCTCGGAAAACTATCCACATCTCGAAACAGATAATATAATGCCCGCAGACAAATAACCAAGAATAATTTCGCACCAAACACGATAAATTTTTATCAACTTACCATTTGAGAGTAAAAACATGAGATCAAACTTTGAGTAAAAAGAACGATCGACAGATTGGGCCCAAACTGAAAATTGCACTCTTTCCCTTTAATTAACCTTTGGTGTTTTGCTCTCTGTTGAATAAATATTTGGTGGCCTCTTTCAACTTAAAGACTATTTTTATAGGGTGCAACAGCAACAAATAACAAAGAAAAAAATGTCGTTTTAATAAAAATAAAATGTATTGAGTAAAGCAAACACCTCACTTTACATAATTTTTTATAATCTCGTTCCAAAGAAGGCACCATTGGTTCCTTGCATTTGGCTAAGCTTAGTATCACTATCGAGCTAAACTCGTTAAAGGATTTTTCACAAATACATATTTTACCGTATTTTTCTAGTTTGAGACGTACACGTTTGAAGGCTATTGGTTTTACTTAAAGCCTTTATACTGAACAGGGTTGATTGTGGATGTTCACTTGACGGTCAGTAAAGAAGTCACGTGCGGTTCGAATACTTCAAAGTTCAAAAGTGCTAAAGCGAGTTAAAACATTCAAAAATTATTAAAGATATATAACGGTAATTGAACTGAGTGGAGTGCAATTCGGTCTAAAATCATATGCGTGATTTGAAATCACAAGGATGATTTCAGACAAAACTTGCACGACACTAAGTTCAATTACCAGTCATGACACCTACTTTGAAATCGTACAATGCAGTAGCAAGAATACAGGTTTTTTAGTTTGTACAAATATTTATTGATCTAGAATTGACCAGTTTTGAGCTGGTTTTTAAAAAGTTGCAAAATTTGTCTTTCATTTTCCTGTAATTTGATTGGTTTCTTTAAACAACTCTTGAAATGTGATTGGTGGTTGTGTTTAGCAGAGCTGTTTCATTGGCTGGGATGTGATGTGATTTAGAGCGCATAAAATGATGCGATTCATGAATAAATCGCACCGATGAGAGCTAATCAGATTGCATGGACCACCAGTGATTTCAAAATGAAGATAACAAAGTAAGACTGAATATAAACTGTGTGAGAACCTTTTAAATGCTTAGAGCTGATGTTTATAATCACCCTGGTTGTTTGGCCAACAAGAACTGAGGAACACGTGATGAACAATGAAACTTTCTCACTTACCTCGTGTTCCGAAAGAACAACGCGCCTTTCCAGCATAGGCAGCGATTGGCATCTAAAGCTTGTCCACGTTAATTTCGTTCCCTACACTAAATTAACAATTAGCGCTATGTTCATTGGTTCACCAATAAATGAAAATTAAACTCTTAATCCTTTAAACAAAGCTGAAGTTCTCGCGACCAAACCGATATTTGAAATGCTTTCAACGGACACGAGGCGGACATAATTAGCAAATAAGATTGGCAGGCCTAGTCGCCTGTGTTCTAGAGGAGCTAGTTGTGCTGTAGAGTTAGAATCTTAGCCTTGCAGCCCTCACACTGTACCCTCAGGTCTTCAAGTTTTTTAAAGTGAAGCACTGGTACTACCTGATAACTCAAGAGCAACGTGCACCCACCCTTACTGAGTGATTTATGTAAGCAGGTGTATTAACCCTTTCCGCCTTAGCATCAGTACGCATAATCTCCATATTATACATTTCCTAAGGTGCTGACAAAGAGAATTTGTTTAACAATTGAGAGCTTCTTAAGTTGGTGATCATTTTCTTTATTTTAGTGACTTTAATGTGTGGTTCAAGAGTGATATTGTAAGGAAAAAATATTTGGTCTCAGGGATTAAAGGCTTAAAAGATTCCAATATGCAAACCTACTTCCATTACACTGTTTCTTCAGGTCCTGAGATTTTTCGAGAAAGAATTCGAAGCAGTGCAGTACCATCTTTTAATTTACAATGCAATAGATATGGTTACCTTAGCACTGATCTCCCGAGTTTTTTTCTTTAGCCGATTATTTGCTGGGTTGTCAACAAACAATGTCGACTTTGTTGTCTCCAAAGGTAAGCTAATTAAGGCCCGGTTCAAACGTCGAACTTTACATGTATCGAACCCAGTACCAACTTGGGTCGACCCAAACAATTAAGGTCGGCAGTTGATTCAAACGTCGAACCTAATTAAGTCGAACGTAATTGGAAAAGTAAACATGACTCTATTGCGATCAGCGATTATTGCTTACTAAAATGGCGGAAAAAACGCGGGAAATACAAATTATGGAAATGAAGAGCTTATTTGTCTCGCAAGTGTGATGAAGGAGGGTAGACTCTAGGCGACTCAAAATGCAGTTAGCATTAAATAACCTCGCCGCCAGGAGGAGACGAGTTTTTAATTTGGCTAGCCTTCTATTATTGCTAGTTTCTCAAATGAACATTACCGTTCCTCGTCCAGTTCGTACTTGTCGTCGGCTTAAAAGAAATACTGGCTGGTGGCATACGAAAGTATTTCACACACCTCAGGCGTGTATATTTTCGTGCTCTCGAAGCAAGAGGGACACCTGTTTTCAACTCTTCCCGAAATTTTGTTGCAAAACAAGTTGTGCGCTTATGACAAATACATGAAACGTGCAGAACTCTGGGTAAAAAAGTTAACTTATTTGCTGATTTCTTGGTTTCCACTCTCATTTCGATCCCAAATGATACTGACATTTATTTTGCAAGGAGGGATTCTCATCCATCATTAACTGACCTTGTCGACAACTTTTTAATATGGTAGAAAAGCATGAAAAATCTGAACCGATCCAACCTAAAAAACATGCTTTTGATGTTAAACCAAAAGATCAAAACATATTCAATTTTATTTTCATGCGAAATTACACACCTTTTACCGCACTAAAATTAAGTCAAAGAGCAACCACGCAGGCTTCTGGAAAAATCCTCAAGCTATTTTAACAGTTAACTAAACTTTGGGTGTAGAAATTACAAGTAGGTGACAAACTAAATTGATTCACGTAAAGCAGATGATATTACAAGTTTCCAAACTGACCTTTAAGCGCGAATGACGTACCCTCTCTCCACTTCAATTTTAAACTTGCCAGTGAGTCAAGCAGACTTACGTGTGGGGGTGCCTCGACACATTCACATTTTTAATACACAGATAACACCGCAAGACAATGACACCCTCCATCTCAAATCTTTCTATTATTTCAAAATACTTTGAGGATTTAGATGTCGAGTATTGACAAAAGAAACAATAAAATAATGGTTTTTCGGTCGGAATAAAGGCGCCAAACATTTTCAGCGAGCTGACGCCTTCGTTGTAGAATCTCCAGTTTTAAAGCAAACCTTGTGCCGAATTATTCCGTGCTCCATTGATCTACAAGTGTTCATTAAAGCAATATCTTAAAGTAGAGGCTGGTTTTAATCAGTTTCTCCAAGATTACGATTTGCGATTGCAGCTAAATGAATTACAAAGTCCGATGATCGAGGGTAACAAAGGGTCTCTAAGGGACGCAAGATTAGGGCCAACTTAATATGCGACGTATGATTTTACAGAATGGCGAACGTAAAGTTCTGAAACAATATTTACCTGAACTTGAATTGAAGGATTTGAAGTTTTCCCTTTTTATACGTGACGCGTGAATTTCTCTAAAATTCATGTGTGAAACAGGTTTCCGTCCACACTTCAACGCATTGTCGACGTCTCCAAATTTTTTTCTGATTTCACCATTTCAGTGATTTGAACAGATTTGTCTGGATTTTGACCAAATATCTCTATCATAACAATATTAATACCTTCAACTCTATGATGTCTGGTATGTAAATGTCTATTGTTGGCCTCTCTCGACACCATAATCCCAAAACATTAATGAGCCATGGTTCGGAGACAAAATACTGAAATACAATTTTATCTTCCACGAGACTTTTCCCTTGGCCTCCTGAATATCGTAAGAACAGGATTACAGGAAACTGACCCAATCTGAGCTATCGCTATTCGGCCGAAAGATTTTGAACAATTCCCTTTCAAAACAAAAGTTTGTAATTGTCATGTCAATCGATATCAATAATTTTAAGTTTAAAGTTAACGCCAAAGCTCACTTAAAATAGGAGATAATTCCTTTTCCCTCAACTTCTGTTGCTCTGGCGTCAAAAACTTGAAGCCTTTTATCTCACCGAGACATTTCACAGCCCCACAGTTGCAACGAAATCGCTCTGCAACTTCATATTCTGTCACATTGTAGTCAAACGTGATGTCCTCGCCTCTCTTGATATCACGAGCAGCCACCATGTACCAAAAGACATTCTGGTCGTCAGCTAAGATTGGATGGACATCTTTGCGTTTTTTGTAGATGAATTTTGTTTTGCTGTCACAGGAATGATTCATGTACCTGATCATCCCTTCAGGGTCCACATGCTTGTTTTTTCCAACTTTTACGGTGTATCTGGTAGCCTTCTCGCTGACTCTACCCCAGAGATCAGTCAGGAAGGAACCTTCTTTGATATCTTCTTTTGCTTGGCAGGATAGGAAATTATTTGCAACCTCAACGACTGCCAATCTTTTAGAATGCATCCTTTACTAGCAACTGAGTAAGAAAGAAGTTGCCTATGAACATAACATATTATCACTTTTAGGAAATTTACAACGACTTGAGGGCAATTTTGCAATTGTATGAAGTTCAAAATCGAACGAGTGCGCACCTCGAGATCGACTTCAAATCAAAAGAAGCGATCAGGGGCAAAAATCAGCTCGATTAATGGATAAATCGCACTGCTGAAAGCTAATTATATCGCAACGATCACTAGTACCTTAAAAATGGATGTAACATATCGTGAAGCCGCACGAAAAAACAACCAAATCTAGAGCAATATTTTTTTTCCCGATTTAAAAGACAACCCGATGTATATTAACTATCCTAAGTGAAGAGCCGTAGCTCCTCGACTATATTCGATGTTTCAAACAAACTTATAGTAAAACAACTGAGTAGTTACATTCTCCTGTTTCGTTTTTGTTTCTTTATCAGATGCGAACAAGGGCGTAGCCTCATTAAAGTTAGTCAGTCAGTTTCATCAGTATGGTATTATTCAGTTCTTTGAAAACTAAAAAAGGCTAAACATTAACGTTTTGTGCGTTACGATTTGAAAGCTTCCCTGGTTTTTTTAAACATTCCCCGGTGACGAATGTACGCCAGCTAACTAATGGAAAGCGCGAATTGTTATTTTTATGTTGTTCATTTGGTTCTCGATAAAAGGAAAATCCTGTAAATGTTCGAAAACCCCAAAAATTAACTTGGCATTTCTTTCCAGCAAAAGATATTACACACTTTCCCCTTAAGAATATGAACTCATATTTTTCATCTGTATTCACACAAGAACAAAGCAATCTAGCCGAACTTGGCAACATAATAAAACGATAGATTGAGCAGCATTCTTTGCACTAGCAGCGAAGTGGAAAGTAAACATCATCATCATCTGTCAAATACAGAATTAGAGTCAGTTAACTCATGCAAGGACCTGGGTGCTCATGTGTCAAGAGACTTATCCTGGTCGAACCACGTGGACGCAATTGTAACTAAAGCATCAAGGTGGTGGACTAACTAAAATGTACAGTTGGTAGCAACAACAGGGAAATTTTCTCTATGCTCTATAAGTCCTTGGTTAGACCAATCCTAGAATACGCATGCCCGGTATGGTCGCCCTATTTAGTTAAAGATAAGTTGGCAATCGAAAAAGTACAACAAAGAGCATCGAGAATCGCTTTCGGTCAAAAACTACGCGAGATGTCATATGAAGAACGATATATATTGCTAAACTGGAACACACTTCAACATCGAAGAGCATACCTAGCTGTAGTGGAATGCTACATGACAGTGTTTGGTCTAAATGGCCTAGACTTTGATGACTATTTCGAGTTTTGTTTATAATCACCCTGGTTGTTTGACCAACAAGAACTGTGGAACACGTACTGAACGATGAAACCTCTTGGTTTCCACTTTCACTTCGATCCTAAATATAATGATACTGACATTTATTTTTCTCGAATGTTTTGCTAGGAGGGATTCTCATCCATTATTAACTGACCTTGTCGACAACTTTTCCGCTCTTTCCGCCTTTTTGTTGCAAAAACAAGTTGTGCGCTTATGACAAATATACGAAGCGTGCAGAACTCGGGGTAAAAAGTTAACTTATTTGCTGATTTGGTGGTTTCCACTTTCATTTCCATCCTAAAATATTTTCATCCATTGTTAACTGACCTCGTCGACAACTTTTTAATATGGTAGAAAAGCAAAAAAATTTGAACCGATCTAATTTAAAAAGCATGCTTTTGATGTTGAACCAAAACATCAAAACGTATTAAATATTATTTTTATGCGCAATTGCACGCCATTGTTGAAGTCCTAAATGTAATAACTGTCCTAAATGTAATAAAGTCCTAAATCTAATAACATTTGGTCATAAATGTAATAAAGCCCTAAATGTAATAACGTTCGGTCCTAAATGTAATAAGGCTCCTATGCAATCGTTAAACTGCGTTGACATTGAGATGTGAAAGTGACAGCTGTTGCACCAAAGAGTCTTCTGACCAATATTCATGGCATATTGCGGGCTCACTGATATTAATCAGCGTCTTTATATTTGCTAAAGACGTAAGTTGAGAAGCATTGGCTACAAAACCTTATACTGATGCTGATGTGCTTTTGGCATCAAATTGACGGACGCAAAAGCAATGAGAACGCTGACCAATATATCATTGGCTCAGGCTCTTAAGTGTAACAGATTTTGAAGATATACTTCTGTCATCAGTGCTGAAGTTAACACTTTATGAACCGAATTACAAGGAAATGGAAGTCCTCCGACTTATACGTTAGACAAATTACGGGCCCGGAAGTGCATTTTTTGTACTGTCTTCCCTTGCCAGATTTGTACGGGTCTGCATAAGATATATTCATATGCGTTATTGACCAAGCGTGAGGTCAAAATGGCTGGATATTGGCCGAGTTCTTTTTTTTTTTTTTGCTTTTTTTATGCACTGAGATGAAGTCTCGGTCCATAAAAAAGTAGAAAAAGAACGAGGTTAATATCCGGTAATCTTGACCATACAAGCTTGGTCAAGAGAGTTTATATTCTCTTGGCTTAATTATTAAAGGATTCATTGCATAGCAAAAGATTTCGCTTTGATAAGAATCAAGAATGGCCTGTTTATTTCGAGAGCCGATAGTGAAAGCCAACTGCGTTTGCAGCACAATAAACCCAAGAGGGTCGTTAATTTCTATGTATATGCCAACATTGTCCAAAAGTTACGAACTTTGTAGGTTTTCTTGCGTGGGATCAATACGGGGAATTCCAAGCGGGCGAAGGTGGGCCCATCAAGCTCGCTCAAGTAGCCAATCAGAACACAGGATTCACTTCATCTTGCCCGCGTGCGCTGCTAGCCATATGATAAAGTGACTCACAGAGCAAGATATCTACTGACCAATCATGTTATCCCATTTCACGATTACAGGTCTCGACATATTGCCTTTTTTCCACGCAAGAGTCAAATTGAACCATTGAGCTACAACATTCAACACATGATGGTCAGTTGATGGTCTAATGAACCATTCATTTTTTTCCTTTAGCTCCTTATGACAGGTTCATCAGTTCCCGAACCGAAAAATTAGGAAAACGTATATTTTACAGTTGATCTCAAGTTTATATTTCATTTTTTGTCTTCATCTCTTCTCCCCACCGTGAGGGGAGAAAATGAATAGATAAATAAATGAATGAAAAAAAGAAAGCTCAACAGATTCCACTTATAGTCATATGGTACATGAACTGATTACTGAGGTGGAGTAAAGCCATAGAGGGTTAGAAATGCAATATCCCAGATTTAAAATTGAGTAAAACAGGATAGTCATTCTTAAAAATAAACTCAAATGCTTCATTAAAATCAATTGACACTGAATGACATTGATGAGCAAAATTTCAGTAACACCACTGATAATAATAATTTTATTTTGGAATAACATGTGACACAGCGAAATCATTCAAACTTCTGGGGGCATTACCACTGAAGACCTTAACACGAACAATAACATTAACAATAGCATGCTAATTCATCATCAATTGTAGTAAATTTCTTTTCCAAAAATTCTTAATGATACGAACCAATCGATTCCATCCTATTGAGCTTCCAGCCAAGCACTAGCCCACTTTGGGCTGGAAATGATATTCTTCAACTCGATCAATAAACCGCTTTAAGGATCATACTTCGACTGCTGATATTTCTCATGTCTAGCAAGTAAAAAGACGCTGATTGATATCAGCGAGCCTGTAATGTGCATTATACTGATCAGCGGTTTTTTTGTGCGACAGCTGTCACTTTAACATCTCAATGTGGATGTCCGCCTTAACAACGATGCACTGAAAGAGTTAAACGATTGCATTGGAGGCTTATTGCATTTAGGACTAAATGTTATTACATTTAGGACTAAATTTTATTACATTTAGGACCAAATTTTATTACATTTAGGACAGTTATTACATTTAGGCCTTCAACACACCATTACCTAACTAAAGTAAAGTCAAAGAGCAACCACGCAAGCTTCTGGAAAAATCCTCAAGTTATTTTAACAGTTAACTAAACTTTGGGTGTAGAAATTGCCAGTAGGTGACAGACTAAATTGATTCACGTAAAGCAGATGATATCGAAAGTTTCCAAACTGACCTTTAAGCGAGAAGGACGTACCCTCTCTTCACTTCAATTTTAAACTTGCCAGTGAGTCGAGCAGACTTACATGTGGGAGTGCCTCGACACATTCACCTTTTTAATACACAGATAACACCGCAAGACAATGACACCCTCCATCTCAAACCTTTCTGGTATTTTAAAATACTTTGAGGATTTAGATGTCGAGTATTGACAAAAGAGACAATAAAATAAGGGTTTTCGGTCCGAATAAAGGCGCCAAACATTTTCAGTGAGCTGACGCCTTCGATGTAGAATCTCCAGTTTTAAAGCAAACCTCGTGCCGAATTATTCCGTGCTCCATTGATATAAAAGTGTTCATTAAAGCAACATCTTAAAGTAGAGGCTGGTTTTAATTAGTTTCTCCAAGATTACGATTTGCGATTGCAGCTAAATGAATTACAAAGCCCCATGATCGAGGGTAACAAAGGGTCTTTAAGGGACGCAAGATTAGGGCCAACTTAACATGCGACGTATGATTTTACAGAATGGCGAACGTAAAGTTCTGAAACAGCGTGGGCGTGATGTGCCTCCTTAAAGATTTTCGACCCGTAAAAGCCTCAATATTTCCCTGAGACTGATTTAAAGTTTTCCCTTTTTATACGTGACGCGTGAATTTCTCTAAAATTCATGTGTGAAAGAGGGTTCCGTCCACACTTCAACACATTGTCGACGTTTTCATATTTTTTTCTGGTTTGAGGAACAATTTAAGAAAGCACCGTTTCAGTGATTTGAACAGATTTGTTTGGATCTTGACCAAATATCTCTATTATATTTATAACAGTATTAATACCTTCAACTCTATGATGTCTGTTATGTAAATGTCTATTGTTGGCCTCTCTCGGCACCATAATCCCAAAACATTAATGAGCCATGGTTCAGAGACAAAATACTGAAATACAATTTTATCTTCCACGAGACTTTTCCTTTGGCCTCCTGGATATCGTTAGAACGTTCCTAACTAATGTATAACCAAGCTACGTCTTAAAAACAAGGTTAATGTTAGAGTAGGCTTAGTTCTCCTTTTAAAAAAAAAAAATGAATACCCTTAATATCTCATTTGCAATTATGTTGCTGACGGAGCTCGTCCTGCGGTAATTGTGGAAATTAGGTAGTTTATTTTCTCAGAAAAAGAAATGAATTTAGCTACTGATACTGAACGGTTCCCATGCAAAGTGACCTTGCATAGCTCAGTATAACATTATCTCTTTGGAGATGTGAACAACAGCCCAGAGGGAGAAATCAATTGGAAACGAGCGTTTTATCTTCTTAATCGGCAACCATTAACACCATAACAACAGTTTGCATTTTCTCTATGGTGTTCTCCACGACTGCAGTATGTGCTCAAAGAACAAATTTCATAAAATTAAGGCAAGTGCACAGAAAGTTGTTTCCTGGGTACACGATCTGTAACTTCGACTGGGTTTGAACCAGTGCCTTCCTTTTCTTGTTTAACGGCCATTTATATGAACAAACAGACGGAGTTGCTATGGGCTCCCCCTTGGCCCTCTATTAGCCGTAGATAAATAGATAGATTCTTTATTGAAATACATCGCAGCTCGTAGAGCTGAATTACGTATTTTCATTAAAATTCTAATTGAATGTGCAAACTTACAATTGAATAATACCTAAGAGCTGATGATATATAGTAATGTCTAAAACATTTAAAAACTATGAACATCTTTTGAATTCATATTGTTAAAAGTCTAATAATTTAAACAGTAGTCACTAGGGCGCATGAAGCCTTAATAAAACTATTATTAAATCTGTTTGTTTCACAGTGCGGTATGCTGAAGGATCGCGCGTGCCTAAGATTAAACTTGCTCTCATGTTGGGGTGGCAGTAATTTCCTGAGTTTTTAGCCAACTTCTTTATGTTGAGGATACTGCAGCATTGAGGATACTTTAAAGCGAGAAGGCAAGATGCCCGCGTACTACAAGAGATATGTGGATGACACACTGACTATCGTGCTAGACATAACATCAGCTGTCAATTTCCTCGAGAAGTAAACCCGTGCCATTCCTCTCTTACGTTCACCATGGAAACGGAGAGTAATAGCAAGCTTCCATTTTTGCGCACTCAGCTGCTCAACAAACGCACACATGTTGAGACTAAAGTGTACATTAAACCCACAAATACTGGCCTCCTGCTGAATTGCAAGAGCCATGTAGACGACCGGTACAAACTCGGGTTACTCAAAACTATGCTTGATCGAGCATTTCGGCTTTCATTTAATCGGTGTTACTTCTCTGAAGAATGTGATCGACTGAAATTATTGTTTTTTCGACTGAAATATCCTGACAAACTTGTCAACTCTACTTTTTCCACGTTTTATTGCCGCCAGAGCATCGGATCAACCTGTTTCGTCACCGACTATCAGCGATCGAACAGATCCCATCCGTGCTGTCCAACCGTTTAAAAATCAGGCCTCAGCTGATATTGTACGTGTCCAACTTAAAGATTTGGATAAAGTATGTTTTCTGCACATCTCTCAATGTGCAGTCGGACTCTATTCGTGCAAAGGTTTTTAATTAGGCTTTTTAAAAAGGTTTTTCATTTTCATTTTTTTTTATTAGCTTCTAATTATTTCTTCTTTTTTTGTATGTTCTTATTGTCTGTTTACAATTCCAGAAATTTTTCTCTATTACCATTGCTCTTCAGCCTTTTACTCTCAAAGGGAGTAACGACTCACGAAACGAAAGAAAAAAAAGCACCAGACTGATGTAAGATACGATGTTTCCTCGTCGACTGGTCGACTCTAAACACCCTTTCATCCTTTTCAGCCTCTCTTCCCTCAAAATGGGTATTTTCTTAAAAACAGAAATATCTCCGTTTATAGAAAGAACCGATACCCGACCAAAACTTTGCTTTCTTTTTGTTGAAAACCATGTGCTCCCTCCAAAATCTTCATCGACTACCCTTCAAGCGGTAACTTATGATTGATCCGGAACGACTTCCCTGAACTAGAGGTAATCACTGTTTGAATTTCAATGAGTCATCTAAAAATGGCATTTTTTTCCCCGTGGAATTAGTTTTGTGTTACGATAATTGTTTTAATTAAACCATCGAGTACAGGATACTGACTCAATCTGAGCCATCGTTATTCGGCCGAAAGTTTTTAAACAATCCCCATTCAAAACAAAAGTTTGTATTGTCATGTGAGACACCTTTTTCGCTATTTGGGACCCCAAAAGAAATGTGAATTTCCGACGTCAATCGTTGTTCTGTGAAAACGGGTATACTCAATTTGAGAGACCTGCAGTTTTTGACGAAAGATTAGTAGAAAACGGTTGGGAAAAGAAGAGTCGATTATTGACAAGTTTAAAAAAAAAAGGAACACCGTTCTTACACAACCGCCGTCTGTTGCAGATATGCATGATAGCACATCTTTCGTTTTTTCGTCATTGAGGTGACTCACCTGATCTATGAAAACTTGACCTCAGATAAGAGTCAGGCATGTTTGAGACATTTATTACTTTATTCTGAAAGAGGCACATTGTCCCCCAATATCATATTGTTTAATAATAGTACAATAACTACACCCTATTCGATGGCTTGACATATATTACGCCCATATTTTGCTAGTTGCGTTGTATTTTTCCGAACCACGAGACTAAACAGTTCACGAGAATATTATGCGTCTCATTAGCATGAAAGAAACGAGTCCTGCGTATTCCCTTAAGAACGATTGATATATATCCATGCCTCGAAGCAGAGGATGAAGACAGAAATCAAATAAATCAAAAAGAAGAAGTTTGATAAGGAATATCTCTTAACCTTGAAAATGACCTTGTCATGCTAACGACAGAAGCAATGTACCCTGAGGAAAAAAAAAGGAGCGTATTCTTTGACCAATCAGAGTTCTACAGATTAAGAAACGCCTAAAACATTTCAGATAGACAGTGTGGAAGTAAATGTCTCGAGATCAATAGAGATTCTGCGCGATGGTGACAAAAAACAAGCAATAATGAAGACAGAGGAAATATAGTCACCTGCGATTCCTTCACGATATCAATAATTTTAAGTTTAAAGTTAATGCCAAAGCTCACTTAAAATAGGAGACAATTCCTTTTCCCTCAACTTCTGTTGCTCTGGCGTCAAAAACTTGAAGCCTCTTATCTCACCGAGACATTTTACAGCCCCACAGTTGCAACGAAATCGCTCTGCAACTTCATATTCTGTCACATTGTAGTCAAACGTGATGTCCTCGCCTCTCTTGATATCACGAGCAGCCACCATGTACCAAAAGACATCCTGGTCGTCAGCTAAGATTGGATGGATATCTTTGCGTTTTTTGTAGATGAATTTTGTTTTGCTGTCACAGGAATGATTCATGTACCTGATCATCCCTTCAGGGTCCACGTGCTTGTTTTTTCCAACTTGTACGGTGTATCTGGTAGCCTTCTCGCTGACTCTACCCCAGAGATCAGTCAGGAAGGAACCTTCTTTGATGTCTTCTTTTGCCCGGCAGGATAGGAAATTATTTGCGACCTCAACGACTGCCAATCTTTTAGAATGCATCCTTTACTAGCAACTGAGTAAGAAAGAAGTTACCCATGAACATAACATATCATCACTTTTAAGAAATTTACAACAGCTTGAGGGCAATTTTGCAATTGTATGAAGTTCAAAATCGAACGAGTGCGCACCTCGAGATCGACTTCAAATCAAAAGAAGCGATCAGGGGCAAGAATCAGCTCGATCAATGGATAAATCGCACTGCTGAAAGCCAATTATATCGCAACGATCATTAGTACCTTAAAAATGGATGTAACATATCATGAAGCCGCACGAAAACAATCAAATCTAGAGTTATAATTTTTTCCCCGATTTAAAAGACAACTCGATGTATGTTAACTCTCTTAAGTGACGAGACGTAGCTCCTCGACTATATCCGATGTTTCAAACAAACCTATAGTAAAACAACTGAGTAGTTGCGTTCTCCTGTTTCGTTTTTGTTTCTTTATCAGGTGCGAACAAGGGCGTAGCCTCATTGAAGTTAGTCAGTCAGTTTCTTCAGTATGATATTATTCAGTTCTCAGTTTGAAAACTAAAAATACTAAAACATACTAAAAATATATGTACGCTTTGTGCGTTACGATTTGAAAGCTTCCCTCGCTTTTTTAAATATTCCCCGGTGACGAATGTACGCCAGCTAACTAATGGAAAGCGCGAATTGTTATTTTTATGTTGTTCATTTGGTTCTCGATAAAAGGAAAATAGGCCAAACCCCAAAAATTAACTTGACATTTCTTTCCACCAGAAGATGTTACACACTTTCCCCTTAAGAAGGTGAACTCATATTTTTCATCTGTATTCACACAACAACAAAGCAATCTAGCCGAACTTGGCAACATAATAAAACGATAGATTGAGCAGCATTCTTTGCACTAGCAGCGAAGTGGGAAGTAAACATCTTCATCATCTGTCAAATACAGAATTAGAGTCAGTTAACTCATAGAAGGACCTGGGTGCTCATGTGTCAAGAGACTTATCCTGGTCGAACCACGTGGATGCAATTGTGACTAAAGCATCAAGGTGGTGGGCTTACTAAAATGTACAGTTGGTGGCAACAACAGGGAAATTTTCTCTATGCTCTATAAGTCCTTGGTTAGACCAATCCTAGAATACGCATGCCCGGTATTTAGTTAAAGGTAAGTTGGCAATCGAAAAAGTACAACGAAGAGCATCGAGAATCGCTTTCGGTCAAAAACTACGCGAGATGTCTTACGAAGAACGATGTATATTGCTAAACTGGAACACACTTCAGCATCGAAGGGAATACCTCTCTGTAGTGGAATGCTACAAGACAGTGTTTGGTCTAAATGGCTTAGACTTTGATGACTATTTCGAGTTTTGTAGAGGTAAAAAACATTAAAGCCAACCATCCATACAAAATACAAACTAAATTAGCTAAAGTTAACTTCTTTAAGGACTCCTTCTTCGTGAGAAAAAGACTGGAACAGTTTGCTAAACCATCTTCACTGACGAAATTAGCCTTGACAAAATTTTAAAAAGGCTTAAAAAGATGGATGAAGATTTATTGACACAGAAGCTCATATTTTAATTGTGTATGTTTTCATTTTAAATATCATTCTTACTATACCATTTTGTACCTGTACTGATGATTTTTACGCGCGTTTTTGAAATTTTTTAATATTTTTAAAGTTAAGTTAGGGGACCTTTTATAGGGATAACCTTGCGGTCCACCTTTTCAAATATGCATCGTGTAACATGTTTATGAGTATCTATGTATTTGAATAAAGTATTATTATTATTATTATTATTATTATGGGTGACAAGAATATCATAAAACATATGCTTGGTTTTGACCTTAATCCCTAACAGTTTTGTTTTTTAGAAGTTCCTTTAGTTCTCGTAGTGGTGTTTCCAAGATAAATCTTCATAAGTATTGACTCTTAAGACACTCGTGATGTTTTTCTCCTTGATATTTCCTCTCATTTTCGAATTTCTTCGTGATTGGCAAACACCTGAACTGAACCATGACCGACAAGGGCCAAGTAATTCTCACAGAAAATATTTAAAAGATCTTAAAGAAGTGCAATGAAAAGTTTGTGTACACTGTTTATGAGATGTATTATGGAAAAGAACCAACCTGAACTCTTAAACAGACTCCGTTCCCGCAAAAATGTTGGTTTAGTCACTCCTTTCTTTTGTTCTGCACATTCTAAAGTTGTTTGACACCTTTGTTCTCTATATATATCATCGGTGATCTTTTTCTCATTTGCATTTGATAAAAATGACCTGACGCCACCTATGAGTCATGTTCCGATGGGATTGCTCTTTATCCTAAGTTTGTTTTTTACAAAATCTCTTGTTATCACATGTTTTAATGGGAAATTTTTACTTTTAATCTCAGTCAATCTTCTGCTCTTAGCTTTGAATTTACGTAAAATGAAGAGATTTGATCTCGTGCTGGGAACAACTGACGTTTTCCGCCTCAAACCAACTTGCGCAAAGAGGAAGCTTCTTGAGAGTAAGTCATTTAAAAGTTGTAACAAATTCTTTTATAAAAATCTATTTTGAAAAGGTATACAGAACCCTTAGGGGTTTATTATATCTACAAAGCGCTTTAATGAAAAGATTGAAAATAACACGTTTCTACTTTTATTTTTTTTTAGAGGGTACGGTAACGAATCCTGCAATCTGATTGGTTCTTTACCCGGTCAGAATTTTCCTATCTCTGCCCACGGGCCACGGTAACGCTTTAGTGAGTCGCCGAGTACATCCCTACTTTCGTTACCATTTTTCATAAATATGTCTCGTTTTTCCGGCTGGGTAGTATTTTCGAGCAAACACGTCGGTCACTACCTCAAGGCGATAGATAACTTAAGAATCCTCTCTTGCCTCTCTCTAAAATCACTTTGGTTGACAGAAAAATATTGGTTTTAGAATGAATTTGTATAAGCAATAGTGTCATTAAGTTGGTTGACAAGCGGCCTAAAACCGACTGCAGTTAAATTTAATCGTTCGCAAAAAGTACATAGAAGTTAAAACGTGAAGTATTTGGTTATAGTTAAACTGAACGATGGAACTTTCATTCATTTAATATATGAATTTTCTCAAACAATTTGTTCGTAGCGAAAGAGCGAGCGAAGTTTTAATTTAAGTTCTACAACAAAGATACGCTTTCGGTGAGTCTTTCCAAGTCCGTTCAATTTGGACATTTGTACTATAAATTGCACAACAGAAACTGAAGGAATTGAATCCCCGTGTGTTTCGTGGGAGTGTGCCATTCGAATTTAGTTTCTGTGGAGGAGAGACCAGATTTACACACGCCATGGCAGCAAACAAACGAACAAACTCTCACACCTTCAAAATGAAAAATTTGAATTTACTCAAAATTACTTTCTGCGCCGTTTACTTAATGAACAGAGGTAAATCTTCGTACATGAATGAATCGTCGATGAGAGTGAAAAATACTTTCCGTTAGATCATTGCCAAACTAGTTCCGTTGTTTTTCAAATGTTATTGCGCTTTTTTTTTCTTACGTGCTCCCTGATTGACAGGTGTCAGATTGTCATAGATACTTGTAAAAATAATGTTCCAAAGTTTGTTTGGAAGCCTTTAAATCATCTTCGTCGTTACGGAAATGAAATTTTTTCGGTGAGGCATCTCTCTTTAATTTGCATCACCTCTATTTTAATTACCATTTACTCGTAAAAAAATTGTTCAGTTTGTTGAAGATCTTGCCGTATTTACAACCCTAAGTCACTCGGGTTCTTTCGGAAAGAATTTCGTCGAGTTTAAAAAATAAATATGTTATTTACCGGCTAAGGGTCGGTCCGTATGGTGAAAAACTGTGACCTCAGTCTTGAAATGCCAAGACCTGAGTCACAGTTTTTCACCATACGGACCTCCCAGCCGGCAAATAACATACATTTTTCTTTCCAATCAAATTTGCGATTTTGTCCCGCTAAAATCAGTCAGTACATAATGCATTTCAAATCCTTCCCACTGATGTATAGTTGATGGTGGTTACGCTTTCAAAAATATACATGAAAAAATTACTCAGTTCTGATTGGTTAAGATAAATGCAGTTTTCAGGTGATTCAGTGCAGAAGAGAGTAAACTCTGTGCAGAAGAGGGTTAATTCAGTGCAAAGAAAGTAACAAATCAGACATTTTGACTAGTCAATAATCAGAGAAACTCACAGACAGCCAATCAAATGCGAGTTTTGGATGTCGCAACAAAATTTGAAAATTTGCGAGCGAAACAATGGCCGGCGTTTTAGGTAGCTTTTCTTTCGCCACCGCGGCCGAAAAACAGCTCAAACAACGAAAACAATGTAAAACGCACTGCTTTTTGGTTGTCGGTTTGGAAAAAGTGGTGTTTACAGAAGGGAATTGCCAAGGAAATCGAAAATTACGAACCGACCCAGCTTAACACTTTGCTCGAGCGATTCAACACCGAAATTAAAAGCAAACATGGTTAAACCTCGGAAACGACGATTCCATTTCATCGAAAGTGATTCGGACACAGAGTGAACAATTCCTTGATAAGCCGGACTTAGATTTTTTTCCGGCTTAAAGATGTGAAGATATCATTGCATATTATTGTTTTGATCGTACGCGGTTGTTTTGACCGAACGCACGATTTGAATAAATAATTTTTTCACTTGATGCGCGCGCTTTGCTTATGCTTAATTATGATAAGCCATCTCGTATTTTTACATGTATATTATTAACATGTCATCACGTGATTTTTCTCGTGCAATTTAGAATAAATAAGCACTTGTCAAAGACCCCAAATTGCACTTGTCAAAGACCACAAATTGCACTCGCCCTACGGGCTCGTACAATTTTGTTAGTCTATAAAAATTTTACTCGTGCTTTTTTATTCCAAATTGCGCTCGAAATCATGTGATTACCTATACAAATAGCGTAGAAATAATTTTTTTAGCGAAGGTCTACCGCATCCTTAACAAGTTTTATTATAAAGTTCGGATATAACGCGCGCTGTCATTGGTTGATAGAGCGTGCTCTATGAGAGTATAGAGCATAGAGCTGAGCTAAAGCTGTCACGCCATCTGCCAATTGTACTGTGTTCGAGCTTTTCCGGGACTTCTTTTTAGCTTTTTTCCGATAATTGAAAGTGAAATTTCGGAACTGAAGCGAGCCGGCAAGTAGCAACAGAAGAATCAAACAAAGGTTTGTAAAGATACCAGGCGCCGTAATTTACGTTATTAAAACGTGAGCAGATACGAAAATCCTCAAAGGAAAAACAAAATAAACATTCCAAGTTTTAAAGATTTTCACGCTCAGTTAGATTGCAAGCTTACGTATGGTAATAAAAATCAAACACAGCTAACACTCGTATAGTACATGAAGTTCAGTGTTCAAAAACAAAACAGAACAAAACAGAAATGATGAAAACTAATTGTTAAAATTCATACTAATCATGACGGTGTCTGAGCGAATATGATCATGCTGAATTTCATCGCGGCTTGCTCATCATGGCGATCTCCTGTCATCACAGTAAAGCAAGCCTCAGAAACTACATCGGCCGCCCTTCGAGTGAAAAAATAAGAACTTGCTCTGATATCCTTTCCGATACGTTGAGTGGCAATTCACATCAGTCACTACAGCCGAGTTTTGCGGCGCTATCATCCCGAGCGATCTTCATGTTCCGGTGAATTCGGCTGTCGTTCATTCAAAAAACATTCGCCTTGAACAGTTTGTTTTCTACCTTCTCATGTGAAAAAACTGGCGTGTTTTTATGAGCCATAATTCGGCTGAAGTTCACTGAACATTTCACTTCAATAATCTGTCTTAGAGACTTAAAAACTTCAGGCAAAAGTGTTAAATTCGACTTGCCGAACTATTTTAATTTGTAAACTATCGTGGAATGTGAACTTTGATGGTTTTTGAACTTTGATGGTTTGACACTTTTGACAGCTTTAGTCTTGAACAGCCTATCAGATTATTTTAACCATTCTAACAAGGATTCTGATTGGCTTATTGTATGTACTTTATGAGAGTATAGAGCATGCTGACGACATTGTTGTTCGCTTTGGAAATAAAGTTTGTTTTGAAAATTAAAAGTAATGCTTGGGTAATTTAACGGATTCTTTATTATATATCAAGAAGTGGGAAGAAACACTCGACTACGTCTCGGGTTTCTCCCTACACTTCTTTCGTGCTCTAGCCGCTTCCTGCGTGCTTTATAACAGAACAGAGCACAGTCAAGGCTTCTCTATTTGTTAAAGAGGGTAGTTTTTCTCTCAGCCAAGGAATGACAATGCCATGAATAAGTCATTCTAACTGTTTGAATGAAAGGAATACGTTTAGATCAGCTTTGTTAAACTTCACAAGTAATTTCTATTTAAAACCATTGAATAATCTTCCTTTAAACCAATAGCACTCAAGTTTATCCGATAGGTCTTAATAGTAAATTGTGCTTAGCAGGCTAATTTCTTAGAAATTAAAAAAAAAATGTCCATAGGTGTATTCATTTCTCTCTATTGCCACTATAACTACACGGTTCACTGATTGCGAGCTTTTTGCACGCAATTAGCACACCATGATCAGTTTCAACTACGCTCATTTGTGTACTTTATGTGTTGGTATCCCACACATAGCTGAAGGCAGAGTAGTGAAGTAAAGACGGTTCTTTTTGCCCACTTATATCGTAATTCCTTCTAACACAGCACAGTGCCAGCATATCAGGACATATACCACCCAAATATTATGTTCTCAGGCTTTAGTCAATAAAAGAATAAAGTCCTAACGTGGGTTAAAAATAATCCTGAAAAGTACTTACCAAAGGTCAGAATCAAAGTAAATGAAGATTCTAAAAGAATCAAACGCCGTTTGACAAATGACTCGGAAGAGTGAACCTTACAATAAAAGGGCGTCAAATACAAGGCAAGTTTTAGATCCGTTTGAAAAATGACTTGGAAGGGTGACCCTTACAACAGAGGGCGTTAAATACGTGGCAAGATTGAAATCAGTTAGATAAATGAGTTTAAAGGGTAAACCTTACAATAAAGGGCGTTTAATACGTGGCAAGTTTTAGATAAGCCGACAATTGTCTTTTTGATTCATGCATCAGTGCAATTGCGATTGCCTAAATTGCACCGTCATTTGGAGCCCATTAGTAATGGGCTCCTAACAAATACCGTACTTTCTCGATTTAACGCCCTCAGCGTTTCTTTAGAAATGAGCAGTTTGGACTCGTCGTTTTTTCGAGGCTAGATATAGCAAAACTTTAAGCCTCGCTGAGCTCATGAGATTGAAATAAATGGGACCTCTGGTGCGTTTAAATTTATAAGTCCTTTTTTTTATAGTCAGAATAATCAATAATATCACTCAAACACATTTGACGGCTTCATTGCAGCGGGGAAATTAAGAAATGAATCGGCTGAGTCTAGCAGAACTTAGAAAATCGCTGAGTACCGTCTATTGTCAGTTATAGCGCAGGTCCTTCAAAGTCCTTCTGCTAAGAGCACTAATTATATCTTTCATCTCCAGGGGACAACTAATATTTGGAATTTCTGTACTTCACTAATTTGACTGAACTCCAAAATCAAAGCCTGTGTTTTACTTAGCCGTCGAGTAACAATAACAATTTTTTTAGGAACTTAAAACTTCTGTGCACACTAAAATATGACAAGCTACACTGAAACACTGGACCATGATAATTGTGAACTTCTTGTGAAGTGTTTTCATGTCTAGTCAAGCGAAAATTGCCAAAAAAAATTAACTAGTTTTTATTCGCACCGTCTTCCAGCTCAAACTGTTGAATTTTAACAGGCGGATAAAGCTTTGTTTATGAGAATTAATGCGCGGAAAGCCAAGTCGTTCGTTCCGTCATAAAAGTGAAGAGAAAAGAGAGAAATAAGCTCTGACGAACATACACTACTTAATTGCAGAATAGACAATGAAAGAATGCCATGGTCACGAATGATGAAGATTAATGCAAATTGCAAGCAAAGTACAGGTTAAGTTTTTTAAGATCCCGAAAAACTGCCAAATGGCTTCATCTGTGATTAACTTTTTCCTGATCAACAACACAAAACTTCAGCAGATCACAACATCTAATTAACTGGTTAATTTCCCTCAACTATCTCCATCCGCCCTCACAGTCAATTTCTTTACATCTACCTGCTTTTTAAATTCCACCTATAAGCTCGATCGACGCGTTGTGTTGGTACTTCCCAGTGTCAGATCTACAAAAAGAAATATTCGTTATCAAGTGAACTTCCTTACCAATAACACTGTAAAACAACGTCAAGTGGTAATGGGAAGTTTGAACGAACCGGCTCATCTACAAGCTTTGACACCAGCAACTCATTCAGACATATCCTTGGTATAATTAATAATAATAAAGACACGACTTTACAACCCCATGCACAGTATGACATTTTATGGCATAAATAATAGTTCGTAATGGAGAAGGCGTATGAATCATTGCGTGATAATCAAATATGGGCTAATTTCGAGGACTTGATCTGTCCTATGTTGCCCTACTCTGCTAACTCAGGCTAAAAATCGATATTCAGCGCGAAATCAACCAAATATGCCATCGACAATTTGCATCTATGATGACGTCAAGGACATAATTCTTAGTCTGTTGTTTTGACTCCGTATTTGTGGTCCTCCTGAAAGGAGAGCGACATGATCATCATGTTTGATCTTTTACTCTCCTTATCCAAGCCATTTTTTAAGTGTGTAGCGTCTCGCTGCTAATTTTGTTCTTGTTTGGCTGGAAACCGCTATTGGGCGTGTTGTTTCTTTTGATTCTTTCACTGTATTTTTTTTTATTATCAACTGAGTTGACTACCGTAAATTGGCCACCGTAAAGAATTTAAAAGCTGGACGTTTCGAGCGTTAACCCTTCGTCTATCGCTCTTACGAAGGGTTTACGTTCGAAACGATGGCCAATTTACGCTATTAACACAGTTGATAATACTAAATGACCATGTTATACTCTCCCACCGACGTAGCACCACAGTTTCTTTAGAAACTTACCCCCTCTATTTGTCTTACGTTTTTAGTTAAGCTCAAGACAGAATGGTTAACCGATAGGATACCCGTGCTCAAATTGGTTTCGTGTTCGAAAAGTCTCGAATTTTCCTTTTCCCTTCGTAGTGTTCCTGGCCATAGCTACTCAGTCAAGCTCAGGTAATGTTATTTTGATTCATAGCCGACGCTTGAGTGTCGTAGTAATCAGGTATGGAAATAAGCCACGCGCTAGTCAGCTACATGCTTGTACCTCTCACTGTGGTTGAACCCTGTTGGCTGGGGTTACTTCTTGGTTGGGTGGGTGACCGTACGTAGTATCGCGTATTGTTGACTCTTTTTTCCTTGTCTTTATTCATTGAATTTATCATTTTTAATGTAAAACCAGAGTGACTGTGGATATACATATCATGGTAACCCCTCTAGGCGTCATGTTCGATCACAAAGAGGATCGCAAACACAACGTATAGTTTCTCCTTTTCAAGTGTCACAGCCTTATCACTTGTCTACACTGTCCAACTCTCAGTGGACACGTTACAATATGGTGTTAAGCAGTGCGCTGAAGTTGAGAATTGCATGACATCTGCAGAATGCGTTATCGCTTACACTAACATTGAACAAGAATCTGGGTATGAGTGTCAACACCAGCCACCGCCGGAAAACTGGCCACAGCTTGGTCAAGTGAGAAAAGAGAACCTTGGTTTAGTTTATTACGAAGTTGGACTAAAAATTCTTAAGGATGTCTGCTTTACGGTTGATTCACACGAAAAAATTGGAATTGTTGGTCGCACCGGAGCCGGCAAGTCTTCACTGCTTTCAGCCCTATTCCGCATGCCTCAATCGACTTATTATTATTATTAAAAAATATTTAGAGAGGGAGCCCAGCTCGCTATAGCGGTTTTCAGTGAGGCCCTCAAAATTAACAATGTATAAAATAAATAATCGCGTAATTAATAGGTAAAAGCATAACAGTGGGAACTATGAAATATCTAAAACATGATATAAACAGAAAATAACAAAATCGATGAACAAGAGATGATACACTAAACGACCATTAAGATTCAAAATGTTTAAGGAATGAAATTTTAAAAGCATCATAAGGTAGACATCTCATGTCTTCTGGAAGGGAATTCCAGCCTGTCAATGCACTATTAAAGGATCTGAGTAGACCCCAGTTCGTGTTTGATCTAATAGATCTAATATTTTCCTTGCAGCGAGTGTTATGGCTATGATAGTCTGTGCCTTGAGTAATCATACTGTTTCTTGCACTGTCATTTATAAGTTTATGCATAAAAAGACACCGTTGCATTGATCTTCTGGATGATAGATTGATCCAGTTCATATCCAGAAGTGCTTGAGTTAAAGAGGAAAATGTCGCTCGATCCAGTACTAGCTTAGCTGCTTTATTCTGAAGAAATTGAATAGAATCCATTAAAACTTTGTTATTTTTATCACCCCATACGATACTTGCATATTCGAGAATAGGAATGACCATTGTTGACACATAGATCCTCCTTGCATAAACTCGGAGAAGATGCTTGATTCGTTTTAGCACACCTAGTTTCTTTGCTATTTTACTTTGTAGTTGTTCAATATGGTCTGCCAAGTAAGATGCTGGTTTATGATCACTCCGAGATACTTGAATTTGGTAACGTTCTCTAGTTGATCATTATTGGCTACAAGGGCTACGTCATTAAACTGAATTAATTTGTCACGTCCTCCATTGACCATAAACTTCGACTTAGTAACATTTAGTGTCAGCTTATTGTTATGTAACCAAGATGTAATAGCTGCCAAGTCTGCATTGAGCTTTGATTGCAAATTGGTTGGCAAGTTCTCATGACAATAAAATGCCATGTCATCAGCAAACATCGTCATCTTTGAGTGCCGCAGTTCAGATTGAACTCCATCAATATACACCAAGAATAGCAATGGCCTCAGAATGCTACCCTGCGGCACTCCCATGGTGACTTTAACTGGGGGGGGGGACAATGCATTTACACACATTGTTTTTTGAACTCGACCAGTGAGATATGAGCGGAACCATTCTAGGCTTTTCCCTGCTACTCCTAGTAACTTGAGTTTGTTGATGAAGAGCAGATGATCGACAGTGTCGAACGCCTTGCGAAGGTCCAGGAACACTGTTCCCGTCACGCATCCTTTGTCCATATTTTCTAGGACTTGATCGAAGTCGATTAGGGCAGTGGAAGTTGAACGCTTTAGTCGGAAGCCAAACTGTGATAGTGATAATAGTCTGTTTACTTCCAAAAAAGAACTTAACTGAATATGCGCTGATCTCTCTATGATCGTGCTTATAGTTGGTAAGATTGATATTGGTCGATAGTTATCCTTTATTGACTTATCTCCATCTTTAAATAATGCAATGACTTTTGCACACTTCCAGACCCTTGGAAATACTCCATCACTGAAGGATTTATTGATCAAACCAGTTAGTGACTGGTCAGGTGATCACTGAAGGGATAAATATTAGCACTGTTGACCTTCAAAGATCTCGTCGAGCAATGTCAGTTATTACGCAGAATCCTGTTCTGTTTACCAGCTCATTGCGCATGAACTTGGATCCTTTCGAGGAGCACGACGACAGGGATCTCTGGAATGCATTGGAAAAAGCGAATTTGAAGAACATGGTGGAAATGTTGCCGCGACAGTTACACAAGGAGATTTGCGAATGCGGAGCAAACTTTAGTGTCAGTGAAAGACAACTACTGTGCTTGGCCCGCACTTCATTAAAGAAAAACAACAAAATTGTGATGGATGAAGCAACAGCAAACGTCGATTGGAAAACTGATCATGTGATTCAAGAGACAATACGCAAAACATTAAAACATTGTACCGTGATAACAATTGCACATCGATTGAGCACTATAATACCTGCGATCGAGTTTTAGCCTTAGAAAACGGGCAAGTTGTTGAATATGACAAACCGGGAAATTTACTGCATAATGATAGTGGCCAGTTTTCGAGACTTTATCATGGCCTAGAGAGCAGACTGTGAAACGAAGCAAGAATTTTAACTCAACAACCGAAAAAAGTAGTCTTTCAATATCACTAACTGAGGTAAACTTTCATTTGTGATTGGGACGCACATGCATTAAATCGGACTTATTTCTAGTCTGCATGTATTACAAGTAGTAAAATCATTCCTACTGTTGCAATAATGCGATTGGCATACCACGCATTTAGCTCCCAGGGCCCGCCATTACTGTGCAAAGGCTAACAGTTTTGCAATTTCTTGGAGGTTCTGGGCGCGCAGTGATGAGAACCTTCGTATGTATCCTATCAATTGTCCGTTTCATACAATCACTGCAACAGACAAGCCAAGCTTAATGTTTTACAAAATATTCTGGTTTTATCAACTGCATTGTTATTGTTAATTGGCCACTGTGAAGAGTTTCTAAAGCTGATGTTTCAAGCATTAGCCCTTAATTAACTCAGTTAATTAAAGCAAATTGACTCATAATACCCCCCTCCCCACTAATGAAGCACCATAGTTTCTTTACTCCGCTCCCCACGGATGCAGCATCATAGTTTCTTTACCCCCCTACCCACCGATGAAGCACCATAGTTTCTTTACCCCCCTCCCCACCAATGCAGCACCATAGTTTTTTTACCCCCCTCCCCACCGATGCAGCACCATAGGTTCTTTACCCTTCACACCACCAATGCAGCACCATAGCTTCTTTACCCTTCACACCACCGATGCAGCACCATAGTTTCTTTACCCTTCCCACCACCAATGCAGCACCATAGTTTCTTTACCCCCCTCCCCATTAATGCAGCACCATAAGTTCTTTACCCTTCACATGCAGCATCATAGTTTTTTTACCCCCCTCCCCACCGATGCAGCACCATAGGTTCTTTACCCCCCTCCCCACCAATGCAGCACCATAGGTTCTTTACCCCCCTCCCCACCAATGCAGCACCATAGTTTCTTTACCCCCCTCCCCACCAATGCAGCACCACAGTTTCTTTACCCCCCCCCCACCAATGCAGCACCACAGTTTCTTTACCCCCCTCCCCACCAATGCAGCACCATAGTTTCTTTACCCCCCTCCCCACCAATGCAGTACCATAAGTTCTTTACCCTTCACATCACCAATGCAGCATCATAGTTTTTTTTACCCCCCTCCCCACCGATGCAGCACCATAGGTTCTTTACCCCCCCCCCCAATGTTTTTCTTTGCAGCACCATAGTTCCCCCCCCTCCCCACCAATGCAGCACCATAGTTTCTTCCCCACCAATGCAGCCCATAGTTTTTTACCCCCTCCCCACCAATGCAGCACCATAGTTTCTTTACCCCCCCCCCCTCCCCACCAATGCAGCACCATAGTTTCTTTCCCCCCCTCCCCACCAATGCAGCACCATAGTTTCTTTACCCCCCCCTCCCCACCAATGCAGCACCATAAGTTCTTTACCCTTCACACCACCAATGCAGCATCATAGTTTTTTTCCCCACCAATGCAGCACCACCCCCCTCCCCACCGATGCAGCACCATAGGTTCCAGTTTCTTTACCCCTTCCCACCAATGCAGCACCATAGTTTCTTTTTTGCCCCACCCCCCCCCCCCCCACCAATGCAGCACCATAGTTTTTTTACCCCCCTCCCCACCAGTGAAGCACCATAGTTTCTTTACCCCCCTCCCCACGGATGCAGCACCATAGTTTCTTTACCCCCCTACCCACCGATGAAGCACCATAGTTTCTTTACCCCTTTCCCCACCAATGCAGCACCATAAGTTATTTACCCTTCACACCACCAATGCAGCATCATAGTTTTTTTTACCCCCCTTCCCACCGATGCAGAACCATAATTTCTTGACCCTTCACACCACCGATGCAGCACCATAGTTTCTTTACCCCCCCACTACTGACGCAGCACCATAGTTTCTTTACCCTTCCCACCACCAATGCAGCACCATAGTTTCTTTACCCTTCCCACCACCAATGCAGCACCATAGTTCTTTTTTCCCCCCCCCCCACCAATGCAGCACCATAGTTTTTTACCCCCCCCCCCCACCAATGTTTTTTTACCCCCTCCCCACCAATGCAGCACCATAGTTTTCTTTACCCCCCTCCCCACCAATGCAGCACCATAAGTTCTTTACCCTTCACACCACCAATGCAGCATCATAGTTTTTTTTACCCCCCTCCCCACCGATGCAGCACCATAGTTTCTTTACCCCCCTCCCCACCAATGCAGCACCATAGTTTCTTTACCCCCCCCCCACCAATGTAGCACCATAGTTTCTTTACCCCCCCCCCCCACCCACCAATGCAGCACCATAGTTTCTTTACCCCCCTCCCCACCAATGCAGCACCATAAGTTCTTCACCTTTCACACCACCAATGCAGCATCATAGTTTTTTTTACCCCCCTCCCCACCGATGCAGCACCATAGGTTCTTTACCCTTCACACCGCTAATGCAGCACCATAGTTTCTTTACCCTTCACACCACCGATGCAGCACTATAGTTTCTTTATCCTTCCCACCACCAATGCAGTGTCATAGTTTCTTAACCCCTCTCCCCACCAATGCAGCACCATAGTTTGTTTACCCCCTTCCCCACCGATGCAGCACCATAGTTTCTTTACCCCCCCCACCAATGCAGCACCATAGTTTCTTTACCGCCCTCCCCACCGATGCAGCACCATAGTTTCTTTACCGCCCTCCCCACGGATGCAGCACCATAATTTCTTTACCCTTCCCACCACTAATGCAGCACCATAGTTTCTTTACCGCCCTCCCCACCGATGCAGCACCATAGTTTCTTTACCGCCCTCCCCACGGATGCAGCACCATAGTTTCTTTACCACCCACCCCACTGATGCAGCACCATAGTTTCTTTACCCTTCCCACCACCAATGCAGCACCATAGTTTCTTTACCGCCCTCCCCACCGATGCAGCACCATAGTTTCTTTAGCCTTCACACCACTGATGCAGCACCATAGTTTCTTTACCCTTCACACCACCGATGCAGCACCAGTTTCTTTAGCCTTTACACCACTGATGCAGCACCATAGTTTCTTTACCCTTCCCACCACCAATGCAGCACATAGTTTCTTTACCCTTCACACCACTGATGCAGCACCATAGTTTCTTTAGCCTTCACACCACTGATGTAGCACCATAGTTTCTTTACCCTTCCCACCACCAATGCAGCACCATAGTTTCTTTACCGCCCTCCCCACCGATGCAGCACCATAGTTTCTTTACCCTTCACACCACTGATGCAGCACCATAGTTTCTTTACCCTTCCCACCACCAATGCAGCACCATAGTTTCTTTACCCCCCTCCCCACCAATGCAGCACCATAGTTTCTTTACCCCCCCCCCTTCCCCACCGATGCAACACCAGTTTCTTTACCCTTCCCACCACTGATACCTGATAGCTACCAAAGATTGTTTAATGAGCAAACCTTCCGATGCGAAATTCCCTGAAGCGCTCTTACAGAGACCGCCACTTAATTTGTATGTTTGGTTTATAAACCTTCACTAGTTTGTATCGAAATCATGTGACTGAAGTTGTGTCGAAACGACTTTCTACGTGTATCAGATCGACTCAATCGATGTATCGAATCAATTTCAGCTTGTTTCGAGTCAGAGAGGTCATATATGGAAACGACCGTAAACGGTTATATTTATTATATGCCCGGCGTGGTGAGATCGCGTGACCTAACGTGTTCCCTTATAGCCTGTCGCGGAAATTGCATGCATCGCCGAACATGTGTCGTTTCCAAATGCATAGTTGTATGGAAAACTGTGCCGTTTCACGACGAGAAATTGTTGAAAAATACCTCATATATTCCAGAAACTATTCAATCCCGCACAGAAACAAGGAAAAAAATGAATTATACGATGCTGATTTTCTGGTTACAAGTCACCTTCCTTGAAAAGGAAAACTTCCAACAGAAGCGTGTATCAAGCACAAACAATGGGTAAACTTCGAAATGAATTTTGATCATCATTATTCCTAATGATTTGTAAAGGTAAAACCAAATTAACACTGTTATTGCCATTTGAAAAATAATTCCCAGTGAATTTACTAGTATTTGTCTAGTAAATCTTTGGTAATGAGCCGCCAAGTGCAGGGAAATAACATCAGCCATATAAGCGGAAAGATGACAAGGGCGGATTTTTCTCAAGCAGGACTCTGTTTATCCTGCAATGCTGGATGTTGGTCCTTCTGTTGGCGCATCAACGCTGCGATCCTACATCGAAAGTGACGACTTCATCAGGCAAACAATAAAATTTGTCACTATTGAAGTAGCCACCGCGGTGAATAACCACAACAGGCTGTAGTCCATTGCGTGAAAATACACGAAACTTTACCCTTTCCTTGGAGTGCATTTTCGGTACAAGAGTCGAGATGCAAATATGAACGTGCCAATTTTCAATTACGTTGCAAGTCGTTTATATTCTCTTTTAAATGATTCAGTTCACACGCACCCTAACTAAACTACTGTGATTTTTCACTTGTTCCAATAGAGGCGTATATCACGCACAAACAATCGGTAAACTGCATAAGGAATTTCGATCATCATTATTTCGAGTGATTTGTACAGGCAAATCAAATTAACATTGTTATTTTCCCTTTGAAAACTAATTCCCAATGACGCATTGCACTTGTCTAGTGAATCTTTGGTAGTGAGCCACCAGGTACACAGAAACAACATTAGCAGACATAAACAGAACAATGAATCAGTAATCTTACCACAATATTTTATATCACTTCGTGTAGTCATAAGTAGCGAAGGCGGAAATTTCTCAAGTAGAACTCTCCGTTTATCACCGCAGTGCAAGATGCTGGTCCTTCTGTTGGGTTTGATGTAAAAACAACAGTCACCTCAACGCCACCGTAAATAAAGATTACGGTCTTGAAGCGATTGGTCAAAGTTTGCAAGTTTTTACACAGCAGTTCAACGACCGGCTGACCAACCACGAAATCAGTGAATCAGGGCGTAAGCGGCAGTCAAAACTGAAAGTACGTGGTCAGCACAATAGTTATGGTTCGTTTGGAGCCTGGAAATAGTGAAAGGAGGATAAGAGGAAATGTACTAGGTAGAATTACGAGAATCAGCTTCAGCTTGTATTGAATCACCTTATATGAAAACGACCGTAAACGGTTACATTTATCCTACGCCCGCGTGGTGAAACATCGCGTGACCTAACGTGTTCCCTTAAGGCATGTCACGCAAATTGCATGCATCGCTAAACATGGGTCGTTTTCAAATGCGTATTTGTAAGAAAAACTGTGCAATTTCACGGCAGGAAATTGTTGAAAAATACCCTACAAATTTCTAGAAACTATTTCATCTCGCACAGAAACGAGGAGAAATGAATTATACAATACTGGTTTTTTTGGTTTCAATTCTTAAAATAGGCGTGATCACATTATCAAGAACACGATTGTCTCTTTTACTCTCTTTACCCCTCCACTACTGATGCAGCAGTATAGTTTCTTTACACCCATACCACAGATGCAGCACCATAGTTTCTTTAACCCCCACCACCAATGCAGCACCATAGTTTCTTTACCCCCACACCACTGATGCAACACCATAGTTTTTTACCCCCACCAATGCAGCACCATAGTTTCTTTACCCCCCTCCCTACCAATGCAGCACCATAGTTTCTTTAACCCCCACCACTGATGCAGCACCATAGTTTTTTACCCCCCCACCACCAATGCAGCACCATAGTTTCTTTTTGAACCCCCACCACCAATGCAGCACCATAGTTTCTTTACCCCCCACCACCAATGCAGCACCATAGTTTTTTACCCCCCACCACCAATGCAGCACCATAGTTTCTTTTACCCCCACCACCAATGCAGCACCATAGTTTCTTTACCCCCCCACCACCAATGCACCACCCTTTACCCCCCCACCACCAATGCAGCACCATAGTTTCTTTACCCCCCCACCACCAATGCAGCACCATAGTTTCTTTACCCCCCCACCACCAATGCAGCACCATAGTTTCTTTACCCCCCACCACCAATGCACCACCATAGTTTCTTTACCCCCCCACCACCAATGCAGCACCATAGTTTCTTTACCCCCCCACCACCCCACCTTTACCCCCCAATGCAGCACCATAGTTTCTTTACCCCCACCACCAATGCAGCACCATAGTTTCTTTACCCCCACCACCAATGCAGCACCATAGTTTCTTTACCCCCACCACCAATGCAGCACCATAGTTTTTTTACCCCCACCACCAATGCAGCACCATAGTTTCTTTTACCCCCCACCACCAATGCAGCACCATAGTTTCTTTACCCCCCACCACCAATGCAGCACCATATAGTTTCTTTACCCCCCACCACCAATGCAGCACCATAGTTTCTTTTACCCCCCCACCACCAATGCAGCACCATAGTTTTTTACCCCCCCACCACCAATGCAGCACCATAGTTTTTTACCCCCCACCACCAATGCAGCACCATAGTTTCTTTACCCCCACACCACCAATGCAGCACCATAGTTTCTTTACCCCCACCACCAATGCACCACCATAGTTTCTTTACCCCCCACCACCAATGCAGCACCAAAGTTTCTTTACCCCCACACTTCTGATGCAGCACCATAGTTTCTTTACCCCCCACCACCAATGCAGCACCATAGTTTCTTTACCCCCACACCACTGATGCAACACCATAGTTTTTACCCCCCCCCCACCAATGCAGCACCATGGTTTCTTTTACCCCCACCACCAATGCAGCACCATAGTTTCTTTAACCCCCACCACCAATGCAGCACCATAGTTTCTTTTTTACCCCCCACCACCAATGCAGCACCATAGTTTTTTACCCCCCACCACCAATGCAGCACCATAGTTTCTTTTTCCCCCACCCATGCAGCACCATAGTTTCTTTAGCACCACCAGTGCAGCCATAGTTTCCCCCCCCCCCACCACCAATGCAGCACCATAGTTTTACCCCCCCCACCACCAATGCAGCACCATAGTTTTTTACCCCCACCACCAATGCAGCACCATAGTTTTTTTACCCCCCACCACCAATGCAGCACCATAGTTTCTTTTACCCCCCCCACCACCAATGCAGCACCATAGTTTCTTTACCCCCCACCACCAATGCAGCACCATAGTTTCTTTACCCCCACACCACTGATGCAACACCATAGTTTCTTTATCCCCCCCACCAATGCAGCACCATAGTTTCCTAACCCCTACACCACTGATGTAACACCATAGTTTCTTTGCCCCCCCACCACCAATGCAGCACCATAGTTTCTTTACCCCCCCCCCCACCAATGCAGCACCATAGTTTTTTACCCCCCACCACTGATGCAGCACCATAGTTTCTTTACCCCCAACCACCAATGCAGCACCATAGTTTTTTTACCACCCCCCCACCCCCACCAATGCAGCACCATAGTTTCTTTACCCCCCACCACCAATGCACCATGCAGCACCATAGTTTTTTACCCCCCCACCAATGCAGCACCATAGTTTCTTTACCCCCCACCACCAATGCAGCACCATAGTTTCTTTACCCCCCCCCCACCAATGCAGCACCATAGTTTCTTTTACCCTTTACCCCCCACCACCAATGCAACACCATAGTTTCTTTACCCCCCCCACCAATGCAGCACCATAGTTTCTTTAACCCCCACCACTGACGCAGCACCATAGTTTCTTTACCCCCCACCACCAATGCAGCACCATAGTTTCTTTACCCCCCACCACCAATGCAGCACCATAGTTTCTTTACCCCCACCACCAATGCAGCATCACAGTTTCTTTACCCCCACCACCAATGCAGCACCATAGTTTTTTTACCCCCCACCACCAATGCAGCACCATAGTTTTTTACCCCCCACCACCAATGCAGCATCATAGTTTTTTTACCCCACACCACTGATGCAACACCATAGTTTCTTTAACCCCCCCACCAATGCAGCACCATAGTTTCTTTACCCCCCTCCCCACCAATGCAGCACCATAGTTTCTTTACCCCCCACCACTGACGCAGCACCATAGTTTCTTTACCCTCCCCACCACCGATGCAGTACCATAGTTTCTTTAGAAACTTATCCCTTTGAATGTTTTACAAAAGGTTTGACAAATTGACAAATTATTTTTTCCACCTTAATAAGGATTCATTTTGAGCCAGCCCAATATATAAATCCCATATTGCATTATATATCCTATTTATCCACTTGTCAAAGGCTAATCAGGAATGAGGAATTTTATTTGGTGTGTAATAGGATGATTTACGTGACAGCCAACCTTAAATTTTTTAAATCTCTTTTCATCTATTTACACGATGTAAAATGGTTTTTTCTTTTTTTTTTTAAGTTAAAACTTTAAGGGAATACTAGGCCAAAAAACAGGTTGTCTTGCATCACACTGTCTGTCATAATTCAGCTGAAGTGATGCTTCAAGAGCCATGATCTTGGAGGCATGTTTTCCATAGAGTGCTTTCATCTCCTCTTTTCTCTTTACACCCGGTTGTTCTGTTGGAGCACTAGTGGTAGTATTCAAATGGACTGAGCCAACTGATTTATGAAAAAAAAGGATGACTAGATTAAAAAGTGGAACAAATTTTTCCAATGTGGGAGATGGTGAAGCCTAATACTTAGTGCACTGTTTTCATGGTCAAGACTTTTGGGCTCTAGAATTGACCATGTCATTGTGCTGTGTTCTTGGGCAAGGCACTCTGTTAACACTCTGAATGGGTGCAATCTTTTTTCTAGCCACCCTTCCCATCTTCTTTTTGCCAGCCTACCTGCATTCCTCCATGCTAATGTGAGTCATTGCTCAATCCTCTGTGAAAACAGGGAGGAAGGACAAACAACTCACCACAACATGAAGGAATGTGAGCAGGTCAACACAAAGAAAGTGAGAATGGTTGTTGAGACAAATTATGGCCCCCTCCATGGGTAAGTGATTTTTTAAGTAATACTCACCAAGCCTCTCACCACCAAAGAATGCAATTGGATTCTAGGAAACTGTCTAAAGCCTGACAAATTATGTGGTAATTACTTTTATTACATCCAATTTGAAATCACACGTAATCCTTGCAATCTGATTGACTCTAACCAGTGCAATTCATTCACAAATTGCAACATTTTATGCTATAAATCGCACCTTATCCCCAGCCAATGAGATAGCTTTACTTGAACACTACAACCAATCAAATTTCAAGGCTTGTTTAAAGAAATCAATCAAATTGCAGGAAAATGGAAGACACCTTTTGCAATTTTTTTAACAAACCAGCACAACATATTGGATCAATAAACTATTGGTAGTGACTACAAAAAACTTGTATTGACTGAATCAATTTTGCAATTTCAAAATAGATGTAATAAAGTGGTAATTGTACTTCATTGGTCTGAAATCATACTTGTAATTGCAAATCAAACTTGCCCTGTGCACACGTTTGATTTTGAAACCATGAATATGATTTCAGACCAAATTGCACTATGTTCAGTTCAATTACCATTATATATCAATTACTGAGCTATTTCCAGAGATGCATGCAGTAAAGAAAATGGTTAAAATTTGTCAAAATTATTGAATCTGCTAAGCTGATTTCACTTTGACAAATTTGATAAAAAATTAACCAAAATCCTCAAATCTACCATTTTCATTACTGCGGGCATTTCTGTGTTTCTCAACATAAGTGCTACTTCACAAAGTCAGATAAGCTCCTACAGATTGCGCCACTTGGCGCACTTCTTCATTTTGTAGACTTGAAATGACGTAATCTTTTACGTGCGTCTATGAATGATCAGTATATACTCACCTTCAATGTAATCATCATTCTCTTCCAATAGTTCTTGCTTCCCTAGAAAATAGCCAGACAATATGAAATTAAGAAAGAAAGTGGCAATATCTCCAGTCACTTCATGCCAAAGAAACCAGAATAAGATGGATGTTCTATTTGTCTCCTGTGCAGACTTGAATTTTATCATTCTAGTTGGAATGTCTTTTGTCAACCCAGGGATGTAGCTAAAGTTTTTAACTGGCGGGAATCTTGCAATGATAGGCGGATATTTGGGCCGAAGGCCCACTCTAGCATGCCTTTGGCACACTATACCTAGATTTGAAGGTGTAAACAAATGAAATAAATAAATAACAATCATCTGACAACATTTAAAAACATTTTGGAGAAAGAAGTAGTGCTTCACAGCCAGAAAGATTGTGTTCACAGCCAGGTAATTTTCCCGGCTTCCAGCTATTATCTACATCCCTGCAACCAATGTTTCATCATGTTTTGTGCACAGTTTAAAGAGGGGAGGCAATGTGGGAATGGGAAAGAGGCACTGTGGGAGTAGGGGAGAGGCACTGTGGGAGTAGGGGGGAGGCAGTGTGGGAGAATACATAGAAGGGAGCCAAAGTGGGAGTAGGGGGAAGGTAATGTGGGAGTAGGGGGGAGGCAACATATTGACAAAAAAATTCTTGTTGCAATATCAATACCTTATCCAGCTAAACGGTAAAAAAAAATTGGACAAATATGTAAGCCTAAGTGTCTCATCTTGATTTAAAACAAATTCTCTTTAAAAAAATCATACAAGGACAGGAAAGATCACTAAAGGGGATAGATTTCAAACACATCTTAGAAACCAAAGGAAAACAAAAAACTAACTCTGCTCTCGCTCTTGTCTGTGTCTCTCAGATTGTTCCAAAAACTTCCTGAAGTTTTCATCAACTTCCATTTCAACATCACTGCTCTCATCGCTATCATCATCATCTTCATTGACATCATCAGTACCACAGCCATCATTCACACTGTTACTATATGCACCTTTACTACTACCAGATATAAGATCTCCCTTGAAAATTAAGTCAGGGTGATTTTCACCACCCACTGAATGTTCGCCTTGTGATCGTGGCCATGGTGTTCCACGAAAATAAATTGATTCTGTACAATCTCCGCACGGGTACATTTGACCTTTCCGAGTCTCTAATCCACTTTGATTCTGGAAGCATTCACACTCATCTTCCACGATCGCACTCTGCTCCACACACTCACAGTTCTGATCTTGTACCTGAGCATGTAAATTATACAAGTACGTGTTCCACCACCAGAGCGACATTTGATAACAATAGTTTGCATTTACTAAGGCACATGAAGCGAAACCCTCGTTTCTCAAATTATGATTTTTCCCATTATCATGCTCATGACTGTTTTTATCATCCGGTACATTTGCCATCACTCCTAATGACTACCACGCGAATAAGATGGATGATACTCAAAATTTGCCTCACATCTCGACCGCCATTTTGACAAAAGCTATTCTTCCTTGGTCTTGTGGGTAATTCGAGTACGCTGTATGCTGGCCAGCGGGTTATACAAACATAAATAAAATGGCCGCTCAGAGTTCACACGTGTGCGACTTTGAAGGATGCGGAAAAACGTTTGGTAAGGAGATCCGACTGGTTGAACACAAGCGGATGCATACGGGGGAGGTATAAAATCTCTTTTTATTTTCTTTTTTCAAAGAAGATGGTTAAATGACCACAGGATACAGATAAATCACGAGAATACTTAGCGCGAACAATTGGAACGTTTTGGGTACGTTTCGCGCGCATTAATTAGATCATGAAAACAACATTTTTAGATTTGATTTTTGCCTAGTTACCTGGATTGATGAAATTTTTTTCCTTTTAATTTAAAATAATTTTTATTTAAGGCTCATGGAATTTTTTTAAATCGGATCTCTGTGAAAATTAAAGCTGTATTTCCAATCTTAGAATATGTGGTAATTTGTAGGCGATTAGTTGCTTTTTTTACCGTCTACTGATCTAATGTCGTTGAAATTTGAATGCAGGGATATCCATGAGCCACTCAATTTGATATGATGATACTGCAAAACCCTGCTGCTTCTTATGTTACTAACGAGAATGTGATGTGTAAAGAAACAATATCTGCCCTTTGATAGTTTCCAGATTCTCAACACCCCTCTATTCACGTTATATTAATACTGTTAGGAGGACTTGTTTCTTTTTTTCTCCTGGGAGTGAAAGGGTTGAGGAGACAATTGCTGGACTATATTGCAAGGGTCTGCTTATTCATGTAAGCCAGTGGCAGATTCTCACCTTACAGTTTTCTTTAAATATGTATAATTTCAGAGACCATGTGTATGCCCCCATGAAGGATGTGACAAATCATTTGTGAGATCTGTGCACTTAAAAAGGCACTTGTTATCACATGATGGAGAAAAATTATTCAAGTAAGTTCCTAAATTAGAAGTGCGGAATAGGCAAGTGTTGTGAAATCCAAAGACACTTAAATTTTACCAATTAAAATGAAACAATGTTAACTTGTTGGAATTGATATAAGTATACTTAGTTCTGAAACATGAACAGAAGAGTTGTGATAGTTTGAAGGTGAAGTTTTAAAGGGGTGAATTGTTTAATGGGTGAAGTGGTTTGTTTGTATTCTAAGCAGTATAATGAAACTTTTCAGATGAATCTCTGCAGTAAACCTTATCATAGTCAAAGTGACAGAATGGGAAAAAAGCGGTGCTTTGAATGAAAGCCTTTCAAGAAGGGTTGGATTGTAGTGACCGACAGAAGACAAACTTAAATCCAGAGCGTGAAATTGTGCCTAATACAGGCGCCAATGCGCCTAAATTTTTCACTTTGGTGACCAAATCCTGAAAGTTAGTCGCCAAATTGGCGACCAGAACGTTTCATCATAACCTTACCAAGAGATATAGTGAATTAAAAAGATTTGCAAAGATAAATGCGCGGCAAACTTCCTCGTTAAGTTTGTTTCCAAAACGTAGCACATGTATCTCGAGCGATAACTAGACGCCATCTTGGATTTAGATGAGCCTGAACTTTGTATATCATCCATCCTAGTGTCCACTTTGTAGCAAGTTAAAGTTCTTTTCCCTAACTTAATTTTGGAGGGTCTATCTAGAATGCTGACAGCGTAAAGAAAGATTTTGTTTGTCTTTGAAAATGGCGACCAACTTTTTTTGAATTGGCTACCACTTTGAAGAATTTAGGAGCCAGGTGGCTATCAGAAAAAAAAATTAATTTCACGCCCTGAAATCACTTTTACTTGCTGACAAGCACTGACTTACCATCCCAACCTATGGTTACTTTCTTTGAAGGGAATTTCTAATACAGTCACTTGCATTTGAGAATGATAGCAAGGGGAAATATATTTAAATCAAGAGCTACTCACAAGTATAAGTGTTTTGGCTGTCTTAGATGCAGCCAATGTGATATGTTGTTTATAACAAAACACAATTCCAAGCGCCATGAACAGCGGGCTCATAATGGGCCCTTTAAGGTAAGTTGGTATCAAGCTTTGCATTTCAATCATGATGCAGTAGGGAAGCATGCCTCCAATAGTCACCATCTTTTATCACTGACAGATATATACTAAGTTATTCCAATTATTTGAAAAACCCTGTTAAAGCATTCTGTAGGTAAGCCCTGTCAACAAGAGGAATTTGATTTCATGACAATAATGAGTTGGTGCAATCAGATCTGTACTATACTGGGATAAATCAATTAGACACATGGTAGCAAACAATGTGGGCAATTTCAACACAACTTCATTTCACTTAGTACTCTGGGAGGTTGTACAATTTGTTGAGCATTATGGGTATTCAGTACTTCATAAGATCTCGATGTTGCGATTTGATAGTAGTGCAGAGAATGAGATTAAGTCTTCACAGAACGCAAGCTTATCCCAGTCATCTTCTTTTGGCAGATAGGATCTTTGAATTTTTCCAAGCATTATTTTAGACTTACCTAATAGTTTCTTTTTTTTGCCAGCACTTACTTTATATTTGAAAGTCAAAATGGTTTATACCTATTGCCATAAACTATAAGAGATCGGGCAATAATTTTTAGGAAATCAAGTAGCTTTCCTCTGAAATTGGTTTTTTTTTTAATGTTTGTAACATGTTTGCTTATGTTTGTTATTTTCTTAGTGCAATGTTGATGGTTGTGATGAACAATTTACAAAGTGTAACCAACTGAAAATTCATCAGCTGGTTCATACTTGTGAAAAGCCCTTTAAGTAAGTAGACCAAATGTCATTTCACAATTTTTTAAGGAAATATATATTTTTTTGACCTGTGGATTAAAATCAAGTAAAGCAATAATCCTTGCAGGTGGAATACAATTTAAGCAGAAAATTTATTGCAGAAAAGAAGCCTGGAAAAAAAGGGCTTTAAGGTGACTCCAATCTGTGCCTGCCAGATACCAGTTGAGTGCCATTACCCACTTACTTGACCTAAAAAGCCAGAAGCTGGGTGCGAGGCAAATTTTTTTAGAGAGCTCATCTTGCCCATAAAGATGAACCCTCGTAAGGAAGAAATGTTGTTTTGGTGTTATATTCTGTTTTCTAACTATTACATTATTGTTTCAGGTGTAAAGAGCGAGGTTGTTTGGCATGTTTTAATGCTCCAGGGAAACTGAGACGGCACCAAAAACGACATGATGAAGGTAAAGGTATATGTAAGGGCTGTCGTAACCAAAATGCAGAGATGCAAAACTTTGTTATTTTGTGATTTTTTTTTTTTATCATTTGTCTTTGAAAGTAGGAATTATCATTTTAAAGTTATGTAAGATCCAAGTATTGAAGTTATCACAGGCTGGGGTATTATGGGTTGAGAATTCTCAATTACCCTTGGATCAACACTAGTTCTTCCTCCTTATTCACATACTTTGGTTGGACACAGTTTTACTGCCTATGGCAACAATTGGTCGTGTGAGCCCTGTTTAAACCTATATTCCTTTTCAAGGCTCTGATTTCCGCAACTGAGTTACTTTGACACTCTACTTTTGAAGAAAAACTATCTTTGACTGCATTTGTTGTTTTCTTACAGGCTCAGTGCCCTTCTTTCCAAGGTACAGGGATGATGCTTTTGCCCATGACTGGCTGCGGAAACATGTTTGTTCTCACAAATGCATTCTTTTCTGTGAGGGATAAAGTATGCAAATGTCTCTAGTAGGACAATTGTTTGGGTTTAAGGCCTTTGTGGCTTCACAGAGACTTGTACATAGTTTCCTTTGTTGCTCTATGAAAGCTCTCTCTGAGTGCCTTTCAATAGAATATGTCAATCAGTACAAAGCTTCAACATCATACCCCCCTCCCTGAGTAACCCCACTGGGTGTTTGAACTTCTGAAGATTGGTTTGTTCAAATTCCCACATTCCTCGTCAAAAAAAAAAAAAAGACATTTTATTCCATTGGAAGGACTGTACAATTCTGGTTCAAATACCCTGCCTCACCCAGGTAAGATTCAAATACCCCACCCTTGAGAAGGCCTTTTTTTCAAATGTCTACTTTTTGGGCACAGACTATAGTCAAGTGCCCGAGGGAGGCTGGGGGGGAGGTATGTTGAAGTATTGAATTGATTGGCACAACATAATCAAGAAAAAAATCAAATTTTAACCTCCAACCAGTACCAGTGATTTTTTACCATTATGTGGAAAGCTCATTAAAGTGCTGCAATAGTTGTGAGGAATAACACTATTCTACTTCCAGGTGTAATTTTAATGTGTGCTGCAATTTGCACATTTCTAATATATTTTGTGAGTTAAAGAGTCACTATTGATATCACTAAAATGTTATATCATGAATTGGGTTCATTTGAGTTCAACAGAACTAAGGGCATTGTAATTCTCAGAGACAGCTGCCATTATAAATCATGGTAATTCTGAAAAATTTTATGCTTCATATAAATTACTTCCCATGGAAATTTTGACTTGTACTATGTACATTTTACTGAATTTCTTCACATGTCAAGTATCCTGTGAGACATTTGTTCACTATAAGCTATTTTAGAAGCCTGCAGGGAAGGCATAATTTTGGCAAGCAATTGAGTGCTCAGTATGTTCTTGGTGTACTTTATAGCTGCCATCTTTTGATTTTTTTGGCAGCAGAAGGCTGGGGAGAGAAAGAAATTTGTATTGAGGGGGTGAATGATGGTCAAAGTGAAAGGAGGGGGAGGGGCTTTTACCCAACCCTCTCCCCCATGGTCTACTCTAACTCTAAAGCAAACATGGCTGGTTGAAAAATTATTCCAAGCTCATAACATTAATTAGCCTGAATAAGACAGTATAATAAGATGCCAGGTTGTGTCTAACATCTCATCAAAGATTTTTACATTTGATTACAGTTACAAACTAGGTACAACATCATTATTGAATCATTGTCTTGCAGGGTACTAGCAAGGCTCTGTTCTAAGAGCTTCATGTAATTCATGCATCATGGTGTCAGCTAAGATATGCCAGTTTTAAATGTCACTCACAGTTTTGTTTGCTCTGATACTAAATGATGTATCTGATATTTTATGTTTTCTGCCAATCAGTTTACAAATAACTACAATTATAAATATAATTATAGTTTTATGTATTAATCTGTACAGCTGTGTTGTGATTTATTTTTTTCCTAACGTTAAAATACGTCTGATTGTGATCATTTTTGGCCAAACAATGAAAAAACCAGCATGAAGATTTTTAAAATATGGCATTAAGTAGACGAATATGTCTTCAAAAAGTACATCAGTGGAAGTTATTCTTACTTATTATAATGAGCATTATAAAAGTTCAAATATTTTGTTATCACCAACAAGTTAAGTTCACTAGAAATAAAATTTAGAAAATGAAACATGAAAGAAGGAAGTCTGTTTTTCTGAGACTAATTCAGCTGGAAGAATTTTTCCCAGTAGATTTAACAGACTCTATTCCTTATTCTCAGTGTCTTGCAATTGGATACTTATTTAGTGAGAACCATGATTTTTTCAATGAATCAGAGGCAATGTGCCAGTTCTTCAAAAGACATGGCTATCCTGCCTTAAGCAGGACATCACTGCACCCAACAATTTCATCGACAGTCAAGAGACTGATCAAATTCCATTCACACTCACATTTCATTTTACCCTCGCAATGATTCTAAAAAAGATTTTAACTACTTTAAAATGATCCCGAAACTGGTATTAATAATATTTTCTTGTTTTTCATGTTACCATGTTCCATATGGGACATATTATTGAGCCTACGAATATAAATAGGTTTCCAGCGGCTTCCCAAGCGACACGCGAAGCAAAATGGCGGTTGAACTTCCTTCTCTTCGTTCACTTCAAGACTTTGTTACTGACGCCCAGTTTACTGCTCCAACATTTCATGACAGGGATAGAATGGAGAACAGGATGATCAATAACCTCATATATTATCAGACCAACTACTTCATTTGTGCAATTCTAATTGTCATTGTGGTCGGGTGAGCTAAGTTAATGTGCCTCTCTGCTAATGTATAATAGGAAAGCTTTACTGAAGTAGTTGACTGTTCAACTCCGGACAATCAACCTCCCAAGGCATTAGGATTTTGCATCTGTACATTTAAGCATATCTTGCTACAATCCCATTAGTATAAAACGAGATGGTAACAAGAACGACTTACTTGGTGGAAGAAAAGAGTGTTTTGAATTGTTGACCCAAAACCGAACGAGACATACCATGTTTCCAGTAACTGTACTCCCTTATGGATGGCCAACCTTCGACACAATCATTTTTTGTCGTTGACACCTTTAAAAATTGCAGTAGAGGAGTTCGAAATTCGTTGGCTTCTTTGGATCAGTGGTATTTTCCTTCCGTAACATTTTTTAAATCAAATGCGTGTTATGATTAGGACAATAATATTTTGTACAAATACAATTTTGTCCCCAAAAAATTATTTTTAAATAAGCTTATTAAGACTTTATTACCGTATTTTTAACTTTACCTGAGGCCAGGTTCTGTTATGATCCAAAGCTTTTATTATGTTATGATAACTGCATAAAGTTATTAAACCTGCCCTACTATTTTCCGATTGGTACCCTCCCTCTTTAAGACTTGGTGAACCTTTTACTGAGCTACTAACTGTCTTTTTACAACTTGTACTCAGTCAATGGGACAGTGTAAAGTTGTTTAAAATTAGAGAAACATAGAAGGTTGAAGGCATCAATTACTTCAGTGAGAAAACGTCAATGGTTCTCCTTTCCTCAGGACGTTGTATCCAAAAGATTTGATCATTGGTGCTGTCACACTCATTGTTGCCTTTGTGTTATTTGGCATTGCCCAGAGTAAAGAGCCAAGATTTGCACATCTGAAAAGTCAGTATCCCTCCCTGGTACCTATTGCTGTGGTTGCCTTAGCAATGCTTGTTATTTATGCTCTGGGATCCATACTGGTATTCATCGGGGGGGTGGCATTGCCAATAGCAGGTAGGATTTCACTGACCCTTTGACCCCTAAAAGTGATTAGCATCTAATTTCTCCTTACAATATCACCCCTGAATGACAAATTGAAGTCATAAGAATAAAGGAAATGATCACCAACTAAAAAAGGCTCTTGATTTTTAAACAAATTCTCCTTATCTGCATCTTATGAATTTATAGAGAACAGTGTGGAGAAAAATCAGAAGAAGACTTAAAGGAGTACTGAAAATAATTTTCATATCTCAAAGCTGCTTGAGCAGGATGTGCCAAAGATATCTTTTGGTGCATTACTTGGAGACAGCAATATCTATCAGGACTATCTTGAGGAACAGATTTTTTTTTCCTCTGAGGAATATTGTTAGTTTTTAAAGGAACTACTATGCTGTGTGAGTTGGCAAGTGAATCACCAACAGAAATATCAATTGGCTAGGAGTTGACAAAGATGGATAGACATCTACAACAGGAAAACATTAGCTTTTCAGAATTCACTGTGGCTAGCTAACTTACTCTGTCAACTATAGCTTAAGCTAAGGAAGGGAACTAGAAATTTTTTAGAACATAAACCCTTTCAGAGGCCTTATATGGCTTAACCCTTTCTTCTACCCTGCAGTCATTATTCACACATGGAAACTCTCATTCAATTTCTTTCTTCTCTTTTGGCAGCAATACTTCTTCATGCAGCAACAAGGAAGCGAAACATAAAAAACAAATTTGCCAATACACTGGAGCTGTTTAAGGAAGATGTCACACCCATGACTATCTTACTCTCAAAGATATGTTCCACTGAAGAAGAAAAGAGATGAATGGGAACTTTACTATAATTTTTTAAAAAATTCACTTCTAGTACAGTGGTTTGTATATCAAAAAGGAATGTATCAAATTGGTATTTTTGATGCTAGTGGCATGAGTCATTTTTTGCACATGAACAGTTTGTAGTGAGCTGCAATTTACAAGAAAAGAAGCAGTTTAAGGTGGATTACCCCTCCTTCAAAAATGAAAAAAGTTTGCATTTGACCTGATCAGTCTTAGGAATGCCACACACAGACAGATACAAGATAGAAGGAGCCTGTAGGGGTACGTAACATAATTTGAAACAAGTAAAGTCATACTTTTAAAATCAGTTACCGAGTCAAATTATTTCAAAGTGCAGTCACAAAATATACCATCTAATTATACCCAGGTCTATTTTTTGATGTGTAAAAAAACGCGAATGGATTCAATATTTTGATTAATATTGAGAGATTTTCTCTAAACAATATGACTTGTCATAGAGAAGGCTAGCATCTGTTAGACTGGGAATCCAGAAAAAGTTGCCCATAAGCATTTAAGCCTGAAGTGTGAATTCGTTTCTCAGGCTTAACATTCAGCGGTTACTTTGTTTGGAGTTTAGTAGTTTGCCAATGGAGATAAATTTGTTTCTTATCGCTCGTTCGTCAATATCGTTTTTTCCTTTTCTTGCCTGTAATCTTTCAAACGCGTTGATTATCGTTAAGGCCACAATAGAGAAGGGCCCAATATCGAGATAAGCAGATGAAATCTCAGTTTCACAGGCGACAAGCCTTGCAAAGCTCTTCCCTTCTTGCCCTGGTGTCTTAGCTTTGTAGTTATTGTAAAACGACGTAATCGCTACAATTAAGTAAAGCCCATTCTTGATTGGAAAAGATTGGTGTTCAGTGTTCATTTCAATGAGTACTTTTATCTGTATATTTCGCTGCGCACATTTTAATTTCAAAAGAGATCAGAAGTGAGTCTTGACGTGAATAGCTATAGCCCCAAAGAGTCTTGTGTCTCGGCCATAACCATACCCAGAGAACAAGAGAAGCTAGTAACCTGAATTGTGGAGGCCAGGAGCAAAGTTGGCACTGTGAAGCAATGGACACAGCTGAAGCATGTTTGTCAACTTTTCCTCCGTCCTTCCCCTTTCCCGGTCCGGTCGCATATCTCATTCGCTTTTTCATTTCCATCCATATTTTTCGCACATCTCCTAGTCTAGCAATCTACCAGCCCTAGTTCAACGGAGGGAATTGTTAAAGGTCGAGACGAAAAAAAAAAAAGAAAGGAAAAAACAAGACAAAACACTGTTTGTTCACCAAGTTTGTTTTAATCTATACGTGTAAGAAAACAACTGATAATTACTTTGGAACAATTGCATAGATTTTTGGAGTTGCTATGTTTCATTTTACTGCCAAGAAACAACTCATAAGTACCATTCCTGTCAACTTTATCAAGAACATTTGAAACAAAATTGACTTTCGTGAGTCATATGTCACCTAACAGAACGCCAAGTAACGACATATGAAACTGCCTGTGACATTCAGTTTTGATTTTTTAAAAACTAAACTCTGTGTATACAATTCAAATGTTACAATATGAATATAGACCTCTGTCAGACGTTTCGCAGTTCCCGTTTGGTTTTTCACAGTCACTTAAAACGCTTATTATGGACACTTGGCAAAGAAGTCGTTCTGAGCAGCTACGAAAAGTAACGTTGGTCAAAGAAGAAATGTCCATTTTGACGCTCTCTTCCCGGTATGTTGATAGGTTCTTGTTGTCGTTGGAGTTTTGCTTAGTTCATCAGATTTCTGATCTCTTTGTGCATTTGGCAAAGGAAGTCCACATAGCTATGAGCCACTGGGTTAACACCTTTGTCTTCCACCAAGAAATGTTTGAACCATCCTTCGAGCTTGTCGCGTTGTCGTACGACGGTTAACTGAGGAGACGAAGAAAAAAAACAAAGGATTATTACATAATTCATGATTTATACCTCTTACAAACCACGATCGAGGACCGTACTGTAAGTTACGGACCGAGTTTTTCCGCTCACACCCGAAAGGAAAAATAGAGAGTGAAGATTGCAATTTAAACACTCTTTTGAATTTAGCGGGTCGTACAATGTAATATGGCCTACCACATTTACCGCACGTACTAACTGAAAGTTATAATAAAGACTGAGATCAACCGTTTTCTCAGGATTCGTTGCACTTCGTCCACAGTGACTTATAGACGTCCATCACGGATGAACTTTACGAAACAAACGCAACAGTTACAATCGTACCTTGAGGTAATGCTGTCTCTGGTTCTGAATTAGTCGAACGATTTCATTTAAGCGAGTAGAGAGAGGATTATCAAGGACTGGAAGTGAAGTCTGGTGACAAAAATAGTAACGTAACACTAATGAGGTTGAAATAGTTAGACTTAAGAATGTAGTATTAATCATAGCTTTAATCAAAATAACAACTGTAAAGTGGTCTCAAAATCTTGCCTTGCTGACCGTGTATCGGAACTTTTTCTATTTCTGTTTACATGCAAAACTGTGAATCCTCCCTACTTAAAATGTATCGAATCTTGTAAAAGAATCCGTTAAGCTATGGTTAGCTTATTTGTTCTTTTCTTTTTTTTTCCTTTTTTTAATTTTTGAAGCTTTTTATCTGATATTGTAAGTCGTGCGATGCCATCACTTCATAATTATTGAACTATCAAATCATTGACCGTTGCTCACCTAAAGTCAAGAAACTTTAATTACTTACCATTTCAATGTCGACTTGTCCAATTGTTTGAACTCCAAAAACTTGGTGGAGCCAGTTGGGGTCAACTTGAAGTCCAATCCACAAAAACAGGGATATTCCATTTTCTATGCAAACATAAAACGGTTAACACATTAACGGTTTAAAAGGGGTTCCAATTTCCCCGCATGGAACCAGTTGGTCGTCTTTCCGTACCTTACAGTGGTTACACTTCTCTGGTTTTCATATCAAGCGCTGGACATTGGCTGCAAAGCTTTCAAAGGCTTCGCACCTAAGTGCACATTTTCCGGTACTTTATGATGGTTGCAATGTACATCAAGTTTACATCCAGTTGCAAATTCTCCCGCGCAACAGACTGACGAGCACTTCACTCGCCTTTGGCTTCATGTGCATGTTTTCCCGGAAAGGCCAACAGCAGTTGCATTCTTTACTTTATGATTCTGACAGCATTATTTTCGTTTGTACCAATCGCGACTGACCAAGAACAATACAAAAATGGGGGATAGGAATCTGTTCATCCCTCACGTCGAGACAAGTCCGCGCGACCCGGCCCATACCTCCCTCGTCTTTTAACCCTTGAACTCCCATTAGTGACTAAGACAGAATTTCTCCTCACTATATCAATACAATATCCAACAGACAAGTGATGGGAATAAATAAAAATATCACTTCAGGATTATTAGTTGATCCAATACCAGATTCTCTGAACTAACATCATAAGAATTGTACAACAGACAGTAAGGAGAATTAATAATGAGATCTTGGGAGTAAAAGGGTTAATCTTCCGCTTCCGTCGCGCCCTTTCCTATTTCGCGGCGTTTTACTGACTGAATGCTTGGAACAGGCTGCTAACCATGAATACTGGCGTACCATGTCGGCCATTACTTGCTAAAATAACTCACCCAGCAGGTAAACACCATTCTCTGACATTCGATCAGCAGAACATCTGATCACTGCCGGTAGACCCGACGACTCCTCTTTCAGATCGTGCTGAAGGAAAAAAAAATCAAGTTTCAGAATTACAAAAATAACTATAAAAGTAAATGAAATACTTTATATGAAAGCTACAACTTTAATTTCAGCTTGTTACGCGATGCTTATGCCCTTGAAATGTAACGAAGAGGTTCGTTGCGTAAGGTGAGTAGAAGTACTTCGTTAACCAGTCGATAGTATAGCACGAGCAGGATTTTTCAATTAGGAGGGGGGTGGGGTGAGAAAGAAGCAGAGCGCTTTCTACGTTCTAGACAATGGATTCTTACCAATGCAAAAAGTCTTGGATAGAAGTAGGGTACAGATGCAGCCTGATCCATTGACATGACCGTTCTCATCAACCAACTACGGTCATCAGAACTCATCTCTGAACCTTTGAAGAAATAATAAAATACGAATTGCTTTGCATTTCACTTCTATTCTGTAAACTCTCAAAACAAATTTGCAGCATATGAAACTAATCATATCGATATCCTAGAGTAACAAATGACAACAAAAGCATCTTTCTAAATAACAACACTGCATGTGTTTCAACTGCGGTCTTGAGACTGATGTTGTCCAATGGCTTTTGAGATAGTTAGAATTCCAAGTACAACTCCACATCAGAAATTGTACGAAAAACAAAGAGCAAATTTCAACAATTTTACAAGATAAAAAAACTTACCTCCTAGCAGAATGTCATTCTTTAAAATACAGTTCGTATAAAGCGGCAAGAGTTTCATGCACTCTGGAAGTATCAACTGAAATAAACAAATTCAACTCGTTCAACAAGTAGGGCGGCTATCGAAACAAAAATCGCACGAACAAAGTACGGCCAAAACTCATAATTACAACTGTTGGTCTGATGGCGTGGCACAAACACAGATCTAAACGCGTGTGAAGGAATAACAGCCAGCTGACTGGCTAACTGACGAACCGCATATCTGCCTGAATGCCAGGTTTACCCATTTTCGTTTCTACTTATTGAACTCGGTTAAAAGTGTAAAAACTGTACCGTAATTCAACTAACAGAAAACGTACAAAACGAGTCCTACCTGACCAGCAGATGACGGTGAAGCACAGTTTCTTCTGTAACAGGCCAAGATTTGTGCACATTGATTCATCAGGTTTTCTCTGATCGCTTTGGGCGTCGACGTGTATACTTCTCTGATCGCTGGATGTAAGAAAGACATTCAATTCTTAATTGCGCGAAGAGCTGAAGGTAACTACAAGTAATGAAGCGAATCAATCGTTTGGTATTGTCACGCAGTGCGATCTCCTCTCTAACCCGAGAGGTGAACGCGTTGCGTGACAAGACCAAACAAGGCTTACGATGTTGGGGTAACTATTCCTGCAGGAGGAGAAAACCTTTTCTCGCGACAATCTAAAGTTACTTTTTGCACCAGTCAGATTTCCACAAAATGCATGGTTTGATCATATTTCTTTGATTCAGGATGGACTGAAGAAGATGTAATACATTAGTCACCTTGTTTTGATGCAACATTGACGAAGGTATCCATCTCACAACAACGGAATAAATCTGATAACTGCGTACAGGTAGAGAAGGCCAAGTTGTGAATTCTTAAACGCCGTTGTCCACTGACAGATGTATAGAGTAACGCACATTGGAAATACGCCTGGCCCTCCTCAGGAAGTTTGTCATCGTGTTTGATTTCAATGGCAATCGCCTAGTAAAGAAAAATAAAAGGCACATAAAATCAACGTTATCCACAGTTACAATCCAACACATATTTTCGCTTGCGCGAGTGGTTTAAACGCGCCGAGTGACTGAATATGCTAAAATTGGGTAACATCCAGTGATATTTCTTTCGTGATATTCCACAACTTCCAAATATTAAATCCAGAGGGATGAAAGTCATCCTTTCAAAAGTTGATGCAAGTGTGAGAGTGCTTTGCTGTTGTTACAGAATAAGAGACGAACATGATTCTTGATTCAGTCAACGCCTGTTTTCGATGGTTCAGTTGTTTGTAAACGTTCCGCTTCGCTCGTTGCAAAAGTTCTTGAAGAATAGTACACATATCAGCATCCAATCAACTTGAAATGTCCTCGTATATATTTGCTTGGACATTATCGGTTTCTCCGGAACAGATAACGTGACAAACAAAGATCTGTGCATCTTTTCGCGCCGAATGGCTGCTTTTGTTCCTGTAGCACAAACTTCTCTTCTCGGCTATTTTACAAGGAAATGTATCATGAATAGAAGTGAGAATCTCGAATAAGATCTGGCGAGTTTCAGGTATAACACAAGTTGACCGTACCTTGTGTGGATCGATGACAGCAAGCTCTACATCAGTCGTGTTGTTCATGTAACAGTTGCCCCAGAAATCAACTGGCCGAAGCCCTTACGAAGAAAATAAATGCAAGTTACGTTGATGTAAGTAAGAAAAGAGTTTCTGGGCAAATGTCCTCAATAACAGAACTGAAAAGAAAATTTAAAAAATTCCAGCTTTCATCACCTGTGCTGCATCTCAGTCTCATGACAGCATCGAAACCAACATTACGTTCAAGGTTCCTCTTCAGATCTCCACGGAACTGTTCTCCGTGTGTCGCCTCCTGCAGAAAATTCAACAAGCAACATATAAGCCTAAAGAAGAATTCAAACCGTTATCAGTTTTAACATTCTCACGACCTATCTTACATCGACACCGGTTCCAAAGTGAACTAAGTGAAATTCAATCTTGCAGAAGGCGGACTAAATTGATGCTTTTCTTAACATCGTTAGCCAGGTTGTTCGAAGGTTGATTTGCACCAGTCCCTACATGACCGTCAAAGATTTAGCGAAGCGGGGGAGGGAAGATAGAATAAACTAGTAAGGGCGGTGGAAGCGGGTTTGCTACATTTAACGGTGTGAATTCGTTGTTTTTAGGACAAACTTGTGTGGGGGCTGGGGGGGGGGGGGGGGGAACTCGCGATACCGATATAAATCCAGGAGGAGTGATACCTGCCTTTCCAATGAAATGCCGTGATACACCGTAAGGGTGCATTTATCTGTATCAAAGAGGGGGGTTAGGGATGATGTACAAGTTTTGTTGTTTTCTGTTTTCGACAACAAAAGATTGTGTCTCTCTCAAACTTTTGATGCTCCCTGTTCTACGGCATTTTGTAATAACCTAAGAATTTCCCAATAGCGGTTTTTTTCTTATTTGTTTGTACGCCTTTGTCAAAAAGCATACAATATGCGTCAAGATGTTGTTATAATTTGCGTAGACCGACGATTATTATAAAATGCCTCATATTACAAAATGAGTAGGTCGCCTTTGTTACAAAATGCTGCAATACCTATCACAAAATGCGCGAGTTATTACAAAATTCCGAAAACGTTGTTACAAAATACGTGGGTTATTACAAAATGCGTCGTTATGACAAAATGCCGCAGAACGCTCCCATCACACTTTGACTCTTTACAATTTCTGCCTGGTAAGTCACTCAGGATGTTTCTATTTAAAACTTCCCTTAATTTACAACAAGAGTCTTAGCATCAAAACAGTCGTTCTTTTACTTTGAGGATGGAATACCTTGAAGTAGGAATATCTATAGATCTGTCCGCCTGTAAGAGTAGCCACTGATCCAATCGTTGCAACGTCAATGTAGGCGTTGGGGAACAAAAACAGATCCACTCCCACGCCATTTGCAACACAGTCTTTGGCAAGTTTCTCATAAAAGGTATTCTGAGGTGTAAGTATTGCCTGTAACAATAATCAAACAGTTTTAATCATAAAAACATTTCAAATTTTTATGATCAAAATTTCTTACTGAACTTCTGCATAAACTGTACCTCAAGTTGGTTAACAGTTTCCCTAACTAACTGTTCTTTGGATTTCGTGTTGTGGGTAGCCCGAAAGTCTTAAAGGGACTTGATTGCACTGACTAACCAAGCACTGAGATACACACAACCCTACAACGTAGCTTTTTAGCCTTGCATTGCATGAAGTTATCTACGAGATCAATACGGCAGATCAAACACTACTATTGTGTATCCTTCTCCAAAGAAAACTACAATTCACTAACGTTTGGTACAAATTTACCCTACCTTCTCTTTTTCAGAGCCAAGAAGTTTTCTGTCCTCTCTGTTCTTTAATTTTCCAGGCGCCTCTGAAATGGGCAGAGATGAGTGGAAAACGAACAGTTTACCTGAAATACCAGCGGCCTGCGGAAACAAAAGAGAAATTAGAAAATTTAAAAAACAAGAAAAGGAAAAATTATGTTATGCAAATCATAAAAAAACGGGAAAAACAAGATTAACCAAAAGTAAACAAAATAAACAAAAAAGGTAAAAGGAAAGGAATTAATCCTTTGAGCACTAAGATAGGTTAACATCTAATTTCTCCTTAAAATCTCACCCCTAAATCCACTCATCAAGGTCTCGAGAATAAAGGAAATGATCAGCAACTAAAGAACCTCTTGACCGTTAAACAAATTCTCCTTGTCAGCACCATAAGAGATGTATAGCAAACAGTATGGAGAATATGCACAACGATATTAGGGTGTAGAGGGTTAAAATAGGCAAGGGACCAAGCTCACAATAATTTTGTGTAAAAATAAGAATTTAAAATGGTGATTGTCTTCACTGAATACCTTCAAAGCTTCCATTCCAGCTTGGATAACTGGACCTAACACCGTCTCTGTTTCCCTTGTTTCTCCAAACATTAAAGGAATTTGCACCAGAAGGCTGTTGGTAATGAATTGTAACATTTAGATGTAAGTATTAAGTGCTCTAAAATTGAAATACTTACATTACAAGAAAGTCAAAGTCTATCTATTATAACTCCATGAATTAAAGATAACAGTACACAGTAATCAAAATAAATTAAAAATTCCCCAGAATACTTTTCAAAAAAAGTATTCTTGCGAATATGAAATCTGTTTGACTCTGTCCATTAAATGTAATATTTACAACACCAGCTTGGAACAATATCATTGTTTACATATCAACACCGACCTAATATTTTGAGCACATACTTAAATGACAAAAATATTTCATTTCCTCATTTTAAAATGAGAAGATATCCAAATGTTGTATGTTTTCAATGTTTTGTTCCACAAGCATGCAGGTGAATACAACTGTCAGTAAATTTTTCTGGGCATTTGACAAATAAATTCCAGGAATTGCCTTGAGATTTCCAGAGTGGTACTCATGATAAGGTAATAATGGTTTAAAATCACACCTATCAATCACAGTCCTTGCTTCCTGAGGACTCACTAAAAAGCCATCAACTAGAGGCACAAATACATCTTCAATATCTGACACCACCATCATTTGCGGCTGTGCTAGGTTGCCCTATTAGGAACAGACAAAGGTTAAGTAATAGCATTTCCAATAATTTAGCAGTAATCATCTGTCATTTAAGGTATAGTGCTGTCATCTTTGACATCAAAGCAGTAAATAATGGTTCAATGTGTCAAGAGTTTGAGATACATGCATTGACTGCAGTAAACCACTCTATGATTCAAGTGTGCCTCCATGCACAAAAAATTGCCTACTTATGATAATGATAACATGATCGCAGAGGAGATTAAATCACAGTGGAGTGCAAATAATCCCAAATTGTTTTAACTTTGGCTTACTTCACTATGCAAAGGATCTACAAAGACTAGTGCCACTCTCTTAACCAATCCAAATTCTAACTTGGTCAACCTTATTTTAAAGCAGTTTTGGCTGTCTGATTGTTTCTGTCACACTGGTAAGTTCTCATTACAGACTGTTCTCATAGGTTACTGTGACTTCTTTGGTTGTACATTTAAACAATCAAACAAAAAACACTATAGCTGGGATTTGAGTACAGAGACTTAAATTGAGGTAAAATACAATAATGGTGACCTTTTCAAAGAGCAGTGACTCAAAATGTAGCATTCGTATACAGAACATTTTATTAAGTACACTTAATTTACCTTAACATTGTAGAAATGCAAATGATTGCTGTATGTTACAAATCCAACTCTGACTGATGAGGCTTCTTGGCCATGCTCTCTGTAAAGTAAAAAAAGAAAAAAATGGGTGAACTCTTGATAATCCAATTTAGAGATCAAAAGGAGAAATACTCACTTGGGTAAGACATCCAAGACCTCTTTAAGTTCTTTCATGAGCATTCTAACCATCCCACACTGCATACTTTGATATGACACATCAATCATGAATACATAAGCAGGAGCACCAGGCATCTTTTGATCCTGTCCACGATGAAAGAACAATTATAGCCACAAATTGAAAACAACTCATGACTAGCACAGAAAGATAAGTCTTTTTCGAACTGAACATGTATTTGCTTCCCTGGTTTTATGCTGAAGAGGGGTTATACGTTACAGCTCAGAGGTAGATGGCCAACACATGCAAAACCTTTGCACTTTTTTCATGTTCTGCACAAAAAAAAAGCGCATGTCTTGAGTGCATTTTTGCTTTTGTTATTCGATGCAGTCAGCTTGCTTTGTTCTGCATTAGTTTGGAAAACAGAAGTTCCTGTTTCAAAATGCTGCTGCAGAAGCATCAAATCAACATTTGCATATCTCAACATCTAAAGGATGCAATGGCTATGATTGAAAACAACTTGTCAATGACACATTGAAACGACGTCTAGTATTTCATAAAATATGTTTGCCAAAGTTTTTACGATGAGAAAATGTTATGATAACTGCTATAAGGCGACATCACGGGAAGGAGTAAGGAAGTTGATAACTTTTAACAGTTACCTTACAATAATCTTTAGTGGCTACAAATTCATAGGATCCAAGATGAAGTTCAGGTCTTTCATAGACATCGAGTCTCATTCCCTGGTGGTCTAGATGACAGAAGTATTCTGCTGGAACTAAAATATAAAAGTAATCAAATTGTAACTGACTCTTCAGGAAGTAAACTTCTGTTTTCATAATAAATTACAATTTGAATGTAGGTTTTACCTAAAATAAAATTATAAAAAACAAACTAACAAACAAACAAAAATTTATAATATCTCAACTTCAGAAACATGAGTGTATTGTCACCTAGAGTCTATCGGCATGCAAAAATGATAAAATATTGTGTTTCTGCTGCCAACATTTTGCTCTGTGGTAAGAAAATTCATTCATGTAAATCTGCAACCCCTGAATATATTTTTGGGAGATAACTTGAAATAAGATTAGCATTAAGACATGTATTGACAAAAACATCGTCACACTACCTTCTGATGAGTAGGAACAGATATTGCACATAAATCTTCTTCCACCATCAACAAATTGTACAAAGGGGTTCATGTACGCCTTACATCGATTACATCGCACAGGTCCTGTGGGGCTGTAGTCCATGATGCGAAGGGATTGCTGTGGAAAGATCAAACAGTTAATACAGTGCCACCTTTTTGAAGTGTTGTTTCACCAATTTTTTTCTTGCTATAGATTATAACACTACCACTAACCTCAGAAGGGCCTGGTTCAGCAAATGGGGTTATAACTGTTGCCAAGGGTATGCTAGAGGCTTGCAGTAAATCTTTGTTACATGGTATATTATACATAGTACTCCTCATGAAACGAGGACTGCAGTTACCTGAAAAATAAACACAATGAATTACTCAAGGCAGTTGAGATCTAATTTTAGACCACAAAACTTCCTCTCTAGCTTACTGACCATAAAGGATTATGTACAGTACTGTATTTCTCAGTCTAAAGTAAGTATCCACTGTGAGCAGTATCAAAATAAATTTTTGTATGAAAGGTACAGCATCCACAAGGAAAAAATGTATGAACCCCATTTTTTTTTTTTTGTAACCATGTGCCTTTAAGCTATACTGTAGGTCAGGGACCTTTATCAACTTGTAGCAAGAGCTGTGGACTAGTTTTGAGACATTATATGGGATTTGAGTGGACACATGGTTAGCAGGTTTATGGCTAATTTAAACAACTGTATATTCCATAATGCGTAAATCATAATTAGGAAAAGCCAGCAGCATTTACAACAAATTGATTCATGTATCAAAGGATGATAAATAAATGACCACCTACCATCATCCTGTACAACAAAGTTGCTGGTAACCAGTGGAGGAGTTCTCCCTCTTGTGCTTGTGAGGTATGGTGAGTCTTTGTATGCATCGTTGTCATCTTTCATCACTTGGATCTGTAACATAAATTAATAGCATTACAATGCAAAACTTTCATATTTGATTTTGCAGTCAAAGTGACAAGGGATCATTCTATAATATTGCCTGTAGCTAAGGGAATTTCTGGTGAGCTGTGTTCAGACATCAATATTATTGCTGTTCTTGCTAACCCTTGCTGATTTCTGAACCTTACACTTATGTTCTGCATAATACATACAATGGCCTTACAACAGTTCAGGAGACACTTACTGGGCTGGGCATCTGATCAGGATCAATTCTTCTCTGTTGCTGCATCGGAGCATTCATTGGTGTAGGATGTCCCATTCCATGCTGTCCTGGACCTGTTGGTGGCATTCCTCCCATAGTTGGTGCCCCAGGATACATTGACTGGCCCTAGTATGGAGAGACACATCCAATTAACATTTAGAGTCCATGCACTGAGGTTAATAACATTGAACCATGTTACTAACAGATCCTGGTTTCATATATTCAAAGAAGGATGGTGTTGTCAATTGAGCAACAGACTGTTCATTCTGTTTTTGGAACCCATTTATTCAGTCATCATTACAAGACCTTTCAACAACCAGTGACAATGACATGCAGAAGGAAGCAACAGTATCTCCACAAGATTTCTAAAATCTTCTTTTGCATGCATGCATCCATCGGGCAAATTCAGACTAGAACACCACCTAAACTCACTGTATGTGATGCCATTCCTGTAGTTCCACCTGATGGCTGATTCTGCACAGGACTCTGAGAAGGTGCATGACCTGGGTACATGCGCCGACCACTATGCAAGGCACTATGTGACATCCCAGCACCAGAAGACCCACTAGGAGGTGCAGCCTGGCTGAGCGTTGGTCCTGACAAGCTTGTCAGTCCAGCACTTCCAGAACCACTAAAAGAAGGACCTGACATACTAACCTGGGGACCAGGGTATGAACCTGGCATTGGCTGCATTTGCGTGGCATTGTGTCTACCCATCGGGGGTTGGGTCATGCCTCCCATAGGAGGTGCACCTGAAGAGGTTTGAGGGGGGAAACCAGGCTGGGTCATTGGTGGCATACTGGGCATTGTTGGAGGGCCAGGAGGTCGATTTGTGGGTTGTTGCATCTGGGAACCCAAGTATGATGGCTGAGGGGCTGTTGTTGGTGTTCCACCAAATGGTACTTGCTAAGAGATCAAAGGAAATAAAACTACATTTTAGATCCTCCTAAATACTTGAAGGACATGAAATATGTACTTTGGGTCCAAATTATGGGTCAAGTCTTTTGTTTCAACCCTATGACTTCTCGATCTTGAATTGTTTTCTCCCAGTCTAACATAAAACTAACCCAAAAATGAGTACTAATGGTTATGACTTTCATGTTCTGGAAACTTTAAGCAAACAGACAAAAACCATAAAGTTAAGTGGTAAAGGGAAAACCAGAGTCCACCGATAGTGCTGAATGATAATAATTTGGGCAAGTCAACTATACTAAAGGTCACATTATGTTGGTTCATTCAACAGACTGTCAATGCAGCTGTCTTTCAGACAAAAGAATGTCTAGTCTTCATACTAACCGTGGTACTTGGTTGGGGAGGCCAGCTTCCTAAGTTTGCTTGTTGAGATGATGATGGTTGGCTTTGGGAACTAGTGATATTCAAGTTGCTCATCTGCTGGGTCATCTAAAAAAAAATCTTACATGTAACAGATGCCATTAAGCCTCTACTCTCTAACATCAGTACAAACATTCTCCATCCTACTCCCTAGACATCTCCAAGGGTTCTGACAGGGAGAACTTATTCAACAATGAAGAGCTGCTTTAGTTGGTGATCATCTTCTTTATTCTCATGACGTTAAGGATTGATTCAGGGGTGATGTTTAAAGGAGAAATTAGATGTTAGTCACTCTTAGGGGCTAAGGGGTTAAATCTTGACAACTCCAGTTCTTCAAATGACACCAATGGCATTTTTTTGTTCTTTATCATTTGTTAGCCAAGTGTCCTTGACGTGACTGTTAACAAGATACGCAAAGATAAATTGAGATTTAAAACAGTTGATCTGTGATTGGGAACCACACCTGTTGATGCTGATGTCCAGAAGTATGTCCTTGTGGCTGAGGTGGATACCGCTGAGCTGGATTTCCTCCACCTGGCCTTGGTGGCTGTTGCCCTTGAGTGGGTGCCATTGGTCTTAAAGGCTGAGGGGGCATTCCAGGTCTCTGAGGCTGTTGATAAGGAGAGGGACCCCCTGGTTGTGATGGTGTCTGCTGGTATGGGAAGCCTCCAGGTCTCTGTGGCTGCTGCTGTTGTGGGGGTAAACCAGGTCTTGACTGTGGTTGTTGTTGCTGAGGTAACTCTCCTGGCTTAGGGGGCTGTTGATGCTGTGAAACAGGAGGGAACTGTTGCTTCTGTTGATCAGGAGGGGTAGGTGAAGAATTAATTGGCTGGTGAGGAGAGGGTGAAAGTCGCTGACTTGGTTGTTGCATAAGGGAACCTTGAAACTGGTCACCAGCCTGAATATTAAAAAGTATTGAAAAGAGAGTTAGCAGGGATATCAACATAGATAGATAAAGCTGCAGTGAGCTCTTTCTCATAGGGAATTAACCCTTTAACTCCCAAGAGTGATTTAAAAGTAACTTCTCTCTTAAACATTTATACATTATTTAGCAAACAGGTAATGAGAACACTTAAACTTGTGAGGTAGAAGTTCTAATCTCATTTACAAGAAAGTGTGTAGCAGCTAGAGAGGAGAATTAATAATCAGATCCTAGGAGTTAAAGGGCAAAACCACTGAAGGACTAAAATTTTACACCAGTCTGAAGTTTTACCATATTGTATTTGAAACTTTTCTCTGCTTAATGAATGAGAAAAAGTAGACTTTTTAAATAAGTATTAACAGGGCTGATTTAGTTGGCCCAGATGCCCTTTGTGATCAAAGCCAACCAGAGCATGTCAGCCTTGTGCACTGAGATTTCAATGAAAGTTAGATTCAATAAAAGACAGCTTTGAAGTTTCATGACAAATAGCCAAGGCCAGTCATTTAAAATTATGGTTTTATCATATAAGCATATTGGCAAACTGAGCTGAGAATTGTTTTGGACAAAACTTAGTGTTTAAGTGTGTCGAAAGTGGATGCAAATCAGGATTTCCTGAATAAGATAATATAAGAAAAAATGATGGAAATAAAAATAATAAGCCAAATATAAGTGTTCAGTCACAGAAATCAAAGAAGTTTGTTTGATTACTGCCATCAATTATCAAACTGTGCATACTATTCATCATTAATTTCAGACAGGAAATATCAATAAATTTGTATCATTTGAAATCTGTATTAGATGTATCACGTCAAGCTGCATCGTGTATCATTTGGTATTTTAGTTTTTATAAACAAAAAAAATGTTCAACATTAGATACTGTTACAATATTGTCTTAATAAATTTACAGTTTCCAGTTTATGTAAATTCTAGAAATGTAATGGAATGAAGTATGTTCATATCCCATGAAATGTAACAAATAAAATTTGGCGAGGAAAACCTTGAGAAAATTTCGACCAAAGGAAAAGGACACTGTTAAAATCAACCGAGATTGGATACAAGCTTCACCATGAAGGGAACATTGGCAATTTGATCACGTTAGTTTTCTGAGAAACATGTGAGTGACAGTTCGTGGACTGAAGTTTTTTAACTGTTGTTGATAAGTACGTGTACACACGCGACCTACAGCCGGCTTCACTAGAAACGAAATATGAAGGACAAGTTTCCGCACTGAACTTCAAAGGTGTCGTAATGGCTCAAAAATTTTATACCATTACCTTAGGAGGAAGTGGCTGCTTTGGTTGTTGATAATAACCGGGATGATATCGATTGGGATCCTGTTGGGAACTCACACCATTCATCTGGACTTGTTGAGGGCCATTCGCCATTGCGTTAGATGGACCTTGATGAGGAGGAAAACTGCCTGCATTTACCATGAAATTATCTCCCACACCCTTTGCTGGCCCATCGAATGGCATATTCCTGTGTTCATAGCAAACAGAAATAAGCGATCGGGTTTTCACAAAAATATTTTTTGAAGTCTCAAACATTCGTCGATTCATACCTTTGACCTGTCATTGGAGGACGTTGATTCATCATTTCTTACGCGCCGTATAAAACGTTTTACGCAGATATGACTTCACAAAATTAAAGGAAAGGCCTCTTGGAGGCAGTACAAGTACTAAATTTTACAATTAAGAGCACAAACTTTTTTTCACAAGGCGAAACGTTCCACTAGTTTCGCATCTTAGTACAAGACATTATATGCCACGTAGAAAAGTAGATACCCTGTTTCCAACTTCCCGGATGACCAGCCGGCGCATTGTCATATGGGTATTTTCATGTAGCGCCAACTCAAATTTCTTACGTGGCTTTTGGAACACTGGCGTATAGTTACAATGCAAAAAATAAACCGGAATAAACGCATACCTAGGAGTTTTGATCTCCTCGATTTTTTCTTACAAAGTTCATTTTCCCTTCGATAATAGATTCGCTTGTCGCCGCGAAAATGAAAATTAAATTGATAGAGAAGAATGACAGCAAAAATTGTGACTTCTATTTAATATATTTTGAAAGACTTAAAACAAAATTAGAACTTCTCGTGAGTTTCGAGTTTTGTGGACGAGAAAAAGTAACATATGCGTTTACAGAGCTTTAGAATCGTAAAATTGAAAATTAAAATTTAATTTTAGAAGCGCCCGCATTATTTTTTTGCGTGACAAACAAAAAAAAAAAAACGTGAAAGGCCTGTCCGTGTAAAGAAGGTCGTCCAGTGCGTCTGAATAGACCTTGCCCATGTACCCATAAATTTCATTTCTTTTAAATTTTATTTCAACATGCATGTCGAAATCTACTTTTATTTCGAACATTTCTAAAGGACTGCTTCATCAACATTTATCATGTCATACAGGTAGAAGATGAGAGAATGTTTTTTTGCTCAGATCTAATTTCGACTGATTGGTTATAAGGAGAGCCCCGCGATATGGGAGACGGATCTGCATTGATATCACACATTGTTCACGGAAAGAACATACGCACCAGCGTGCTAGTGAACTCAAGGCTAAATCTCTGCCTTATCTCTTCAAGAAATCCATTTCTGTCCCCGTTATAATCTACTTGGATCGATTCTAATTTTGTGTGTTCTAAAAATTAAAACGGCAACAAATAGTTAGATATAGCCACCCTTTACTCCTTTATGAACCAGCACAAGGCCCTTTTATTTTATGTTCCAACCTCTGGTATAAAAGATCGATTCTTTAGTCATTGTGATACTTTTTCTTCCTTCTGAAGCCACGAGTCGATCACTAGCTCCAATACTTAACCCACCAAGGAACTTTAACAAAACACACGCGAAGTACCCACACATTACCAGCTAATGTCAAGGCTTTTCTGTTTATCGGGTGCCCCGCCTGAAGGCAGGGCGACGAAAAATTGAATTAGAGACTCATTCGAGTGTTCTCCTCCACGGAAATCTTTAGTAAAAGGCGAAAGATTTGTGCGTAATGAGGGAAAACCAGAGTTACCATGACAAATTTGAGATGACTGTATGAATGACCGGGCAGACTCGAGGCATGTGGGACGAATAAAGTGGAAACAAAGCGCAAGTCAAAAGATTCGTTTTTTGAATGAGAAGTTTTACAACGGTTCCAATAGTTCTCGAGGTTTTGCTTTTTCCAATCACCATACGAAAATTTATTATCATCTGCGATTGATACGTTTCTTAATCGTCTTCAGTGCTACAGAAACCGTCGATTGAAACTATGGAGAGGACATGCACTTGTACCTTTGACATGCGCGATAACAACTGTCTTGAACTTATAGAAAGGGTCTTTTACAAGGAGACTAAGGCGAAAGCAAGGCTTGTCATGTGACTCCAGCTCCGTTTCTTTTCTTTGAAAATTGTGGTTATCACTTTCACGTCGTGTATGGTGAGCGAAAAGGAAGAGTTGTATGAGATTCGAATTTGATGCTGTCGGAAGTTTTATTAGATTGAGGTCGACTTGCTCCAACAAACTTGCTGCTGTTTACGAAATGTCATCATCTGATACAAAAGTTTATGACAATCGTTACGAAAAAGGTTTGTAACAAACTTTTCGAGGTTGTTATCTGCACAAGGCTTTGTCCAGCGTGATAACCTATTTCTTTATACTCCGAAAAATAACCCGTAGAAATGTTTGATCTACTTCCATCATTAATCCTGTAAACCAGCCGGGTTAAGAGTGATTCTCAGAAATTTGAAACTATTTCATCAGAATGTCAAGTGTTAGGAGCTGCCAGTAAGTCTACGATATTTAGAATCATGTCATATAACCAACAGGCATCGACCACACAATCCTGCTTTCCCATGGCTTCTCTTTCCTTCATTATTGCCCTGCTGAGCTCTTAGCAGGACTGCAAAAATTTCGAAGCTCAATTTTTGAGCTTGATGGGTTACTACCAGAAGCATGTGCAATCGCACATGCTTCCATTTAAGCTAATTACGTTACTTAGATTTAGCCAAGCCAACTTGTTAAAATGACGAGACAAAATATATACTCTCATCAAGCACTAGGGTTGTGGGATAATTAATAATTCACATCTTTAAATCTATGTGTACGCGTGCGTATAAGAAACTCATATACTCCTCAGTAAAGGAAATTCAGGAAAATCGAAGTACACATTTTTTTCTTTGAGGGAGAACTGACCCAATTCACTGCTACGAGTATGATGACAGAATCGCCGTATACTGCGCACATGGGCTACTGCTAATAATCTTTTGTCTTAATATTGCACATGCGCCCAAGAGACCCAGGTCGACTCCTCTTTAATTTCTAACGTTCCACGAATTTGCCATATACGTGTAGCTTGGAAAGGAAAAATGCAACTACAGAAGTTTAGGTCCTAAAGACCTACTGGATAAGGAATTAATGGAAAAGTTACCACTACAGTCTCTCGACAAAAGAAACCAGATCACTTGGATTCACACAAGGCACTTTATTTGTTTATTTATTTATTTATTTATGTGGGTGAGATGCGAATATCACTTTTAATCTTCGCAAAACGAACCTTCCATTAACCAGAATCGAAATACAATAAAGGCACATAATATTGAAATTTAAGTATCTACTGCAACGACCCTAGTCAACAATTTGCAAAGTGAAATACTGTATGAGAATACCATCTTCTAACCAAGCGAATATTCATAATGCAGGGTACCTTCCAGTACTCTTCAACTAGCCTTTCTTTCACAGTCTTTCTTATTGCTGCCTCTCTCATGCCACCAGGCATTGCACCACTTTCAAGGGAGCCTGGCCATTCACACAAACACATAAAAACAAGGAAAGACAGTGAAGAGGAAACACACTCTACAACCCTGCTTTGAAAAGGAAGTTGGCCATAAAATTTAATAAAATAGAAAAGGAAGAAAAACTTTACAAGTCCATGTATAGCCACGAGGTCAGCCACCAATTTTTTTGTACAGTTGAGCCTGGTTAATGGGATGGCAAAATTATCTCTGCTGATAAAATTTTAATGTCTCACTAAAATAGCAAATCTTTTGAGCAGTTTTCCTAAATGGAAATTTCTGACATTTGCCTAGTCTGAAATGAATAAAAGTGGTGCATCCCAAAATGTTGAAAGGACTCAATGAAAAATACAAATCAAATAAGCAGGTATTTTAAGATCATCTTTGGGAGAAATCTTTGAATCCTTTCTTCACACAATAAACGTCCAAAAGGTAAGTGGACAAGGAGATATCTCTCAATTGGAGCAGAAAATACATTTATTGTAGCTTATTGTAAGAAATTTAACCATCAAAGTTCTAATTTGATGGTCCCTGTTGTTGCTGTTGCTGCTACTGTCCTTTTGAGATTAATCTTTAACTTACAAGAGTACAAATAAGCTAATACAAGGTGAAATTTCGTTTTTCAATCACAAAATAAACAGAATTCAAGAGAGGAAAAACTTCCATTCTTAGGCTGGATATTAAGTACAGAAATAATTTTATGGGATAGTTGATACAGTGCAGAATGGTTTGTTTAAAACAGGAGAGTTCCCATGCCTCCCATTTCGCTTTGCTCTTTAACGAAGATTTCAAAGTATTGGTAAATGATGGTGACAGCCAACAGAATACCTGTTCCTGAGCCAATGGCACCTATGAAGAAACAAACAGAAATGTTACATGCGCAAGAATTCATTTAATTTTGGCTCCTGTTCATATCACCTTGATCTACTTGATCTATCACCTTGATCTATCATCTTCCTCTTAATTCCATTCTTTACACCTCACTTTAGCAAGGAGCAGGGGCTTTTTTTTTTCTCAAACAGTTGCAGCTTATCAATACTACTGATCATATAATGACAAAAAATCCTAAGAGCAGCTTGTGAACATTTTTGAAAAAGTGCCCAAATCTTTTTTAAAAGCAGTCATTGACTTGACCGGCAAGCAAAGCTCTGTGCTTTCTCCCTGGTTTCCGATCCATTTTTTGAGAAACAAACAGATTCTTAGAAAGTTTGTTTCCTTTTTTGACAAAGGTCAGCCATTCACAACTTGGAAAATAGGACTACTGTACATTTAGTTACAATTGAACTTAGCCCCTTCTCCTTTTCAAGTTTTGCTGAAGTCCATGAAGTGAAGCATCATGAAATCAGAGGGTCAGTGACTCAAATCCTTATATGAGATTCAGATGCATTTACTTATGCCACAATCATGGCACTGAAATGCTGAATATCTTTCTTGAGTTTTTCAAGCTGTTTAGTACATGAAAACTCAATGCTTACCCATGAAATCAGCCAAGACTGAAAGGGCACCAATACAAAGTCCACCAAAAGCTGCAGCTGTAGGGATATACCTGGAAGGTAAGAGATCCATTTAAAATGCCATTTAATTTTTTATTTCAAAATTATAGTACTATGTAAGAAACTATTTATTGAATTAAATTATCCATACATTACATATTGGTTACATATCTTCCACATGGACAAGGAATATATGAAAGCTTTGTAAAAGCCAATTCTAAACTTTATGATCATTGCTTACCTGTTGAGTTCATGGACCATGGATTTATCGCGGTGTCCACGCATCACCATTTGCTGTTCCTTCAGCTGTTTGGCAACCTTGGTTTGGGGATAAAAGTTAAAACATCCATCAATTGATTGGAACTAAATACAGCAATCCAAGTTGCAACCATTTTGGTCACCATGGCAAGTGAAAAATATAATTGATGACTAAAATTTTTACCAAAGTCACCATATTGGTGATCAACAGATTTAAAAAAGGAAAAAAAAAACACTTGCACACTGTCTCTGCTTACAGACATTAGAGCCTCGTCATCTTTTGACCCTTATTACAGTCTTTACATCCACAAGCAAATAAACATATCAATTTGGCAAACAAAAATGTTGCAAACTTATTGCTTGTCTTACTAAATACATAATTTTTAGGGCAACCATTTTGTAATTGAAGGTGACCAAGAGGCCACTTTTTTAAAAGATGAACTTAAAGCCCAGTATTATTAAGATCTTAGAGTCAATACTGCCGACCAATGACCACACAATCCTCAACTTACTTTTGACACAATTTGCCAAATTTTTGTCAATTTTGAGACATCCATTGTACATGTGTCTTCTTAAGTCACAATTAAAAAGTTTAAATACTCAAAAGTTCTAACAAGTTTCTATTGTGAGTTAAGGAAAACTATGAACATTGGGAATTTAGATAGCATACAAGTTGTACTTTGAAAATTTTTTGTCTGTTGAAATTAGAGTTTCTGTAAAATTAATCACCTGAACACCTGAAGTCACAGTACATTTAATCTGCTGCTCCATCATTTTTAAGTAACACTTACATCTTTAGCTGAGGAGCCAGACACATCAATCCATGTCTTGGAGAAGAAAGCACAAGAGCCCAACATGAACACGATGTACAAGACGGCATGAATGGGATCTTCTATGATGTGACTCACTGTCTCTGGAGGTGACATGTAATAGCACAGGCCACCAGTGGGGTATGATCGCGCAGGTCCACCACCAGCTTCCTGGAATCAAAAGACCACCATTACATCAGGGAGCCCCATCACACAAATGTATTCCCAAATCTTAAACTAACCAAATTGTCATAAAGTCAACGTAAAGATGGTAGCATACCTCCCATGTTCCAAGAAGACTGACGAAGAAATTTCCAGCAAACTTAGTGGACAACATTTGGGAAATGACATAAATATTGGACACGAGGGCACTCTGAAATATTGACAAAAAAGCAAGTGATGAGAATTGAATGACATGCTTTGCACAACAAAATCAAATTGTTGTATTGATCATTAAAATTTAGCAAATGCCTCTAACTCTGAACTCTAGAGTAGTATATAAATAAAGGCCCAAAACCTAACTAATTTTGTAAAGTCACTACTTGGAGAATAATGTTAAATATTTGACTTAAGCAAATATCAATTAGAGATACACCTAACAAAGAGCATGATGGTCTAGGTAGTGACTTTCAAACAAGAGTAATAATGAAAACAATCAACTCACTGAAAGCATTTTAACCAGTTCCTAAAATTAAGCAAAGAATGAAAGTTTCATGGTTACTCTTACCTGCAAAATGATGGGAATATTTGAAGTGTAAAACAGTTTGATTGGGTAAGAGCTGTATTGGCCTCTGTAACGAGCAGACTTGATGGGAAGATCTACACGGAAGCCCTGCAAGATATTTCCACATTCTGTCAGACATACCGATATACCATGCAAAGAGGCAGGTCAGAAACTAACTTACTTACTTTAAGTTAAACTGATGACTACCAGTTGAGAGGAAAGAGCTTACATCACACTTATAATATCATGATACTTGTAGAGAATCTGAATGAAAACTAAAGTTATGCTATATTTCAATACAAAAACAAACAACACTCTGTCCCAGACCTTGAGGAGCCACTAACAATCACATTTCAAGGAGGAAAAAAACACCCCATAAGAAAGGTTCTAAATCAAGGAAATGTTGAAGTAGTAAGAATATTATTGATTGAAAGGTGGCAATTTACCTGGAAGTATATAACTATACCAAAGACAAAAATTGTGGCAATCAGGTTAGTGATGTTTGGTAGGTTCTGACGATGGACGGCTTCACGGAGCCCACGCACTTTGTCTGTTCTGGTGGCCAACAGATGGAACAAGGCAATGATAGCACCCTCAAACTCAGTACCTAAAATCAACAGCAGAAAATACTGTAAAAAACATTGACTTGTGATAATGAAATGCAATAATTTTGAGGTATTACTATCTGTCTCACAATGTAGTCACTTTTAGTGCAAATTGTCTTCATAGGATGACCAGTTTAAAGCAAGGAAAAAATTGAAAATAAATTTTTAAGCTGACATCTAATTTCAAAAATGTTTGAAGTGTTGTTTCTACAAACACATTCAATCCTTGCGAGTCTCTATTTTGTAACCTGTTTAAGATGGGGATATAGGAGTTGTACATACCCCTGCCAGTGTTAATAGTGGCTGGACTGAATGCTTTCCAAACAATAGTCTCACAGATGTTTGTGGCAATGAACAGCGAGATTCTGCAAGGGAGATTATAATGAGATTTAGCCAAGGTAAAATAATTGCAGTGAAAATAAATCAAAGAGCACACCATTGGATAACTAGCATGTTTTAAACCTTGTTGCAAAGAGGAAAGCTCTGCAAAAGCTCTGAGAAGTCTTAACATGACATATGCTTGTGTGGCAGAGTGGAAATCAATTCAGGTAGTGAAAATTCCCAAGAACACCATAAGTAATACTGGTACCCTTAACCCTTTCACTCCCAAGATCTGATTAATAATTCTCCTTACTATCTGCCATACAATTCTAACAACGTTAGTTCAGAGAATTTGGTATTAGATCAACTAATAATCCCATAATTGATATTCTTCTATATTCTCATCACCTGCCTGCTTGATATTGTATTGATATTGTAAGGAGAAATTCTGTCTTGGTCACTTGTGGGGGTGAAAGGGTTAACTACTTGATTCCTATGAGTGATTAGCATTTCATTTCTCCTAACAATACCATCCCTGAATCACACATCTAGGTCATGAGAATGAAGGAAATGATCGCCAATTACAGAAACTCTTTACAGTTTAACAACTTTTCCTTATCAGCACATCCGGAAATGTGTAACGAACAGTAAGGAGAATATGTATACTGATACAGGGGTGTAAAGGGTTAAGAGCTTTCTTTCCTGGATCTAAGATAAAATCTCCCAACTCACAAGTATACTTTTCTTAATGGCTTCTATTTATCTAGTGCTGTATCAAGAAACAGCCCATGCATCTAAAGGATAAGCTGGAGATATGTACAAGCCCTCATTCATCTTCCATCAAAAGAGATTAACTCAATTTGAGCTGCCTACCCTGATCCAAGGCCATATCCTTTCTGAAGAAGTTCATCCAGCAAGAGAACAATAAGACCAGCACAGAACAGCTACAAAGATGAAAAAAATCAGTAATCAGCATCTACAATCAACAATCAAATAATCCACTGAGAGCCTCTGAGATTGCATTACTTCAGAATACCAACAATTTCATATCTACAACTCTTACTCCCCTCTCTCAAGTAACAGTACTGCATAACACTTACTGAGAGAAGTTTCATTGTAGAAAACCTATGTTCGTTTAGTGTCAAGGGATATCAATTGAATGTTGTTCATCAATAAAGTTTGGCATGACACGTGGCATATCAAGTGTCACTTTGGACATTATTACATTAAGTTCAGTTTCACTTGCAATATTAACCCCAAGGGTATGATATACATGTATATCACTGACAAAACGTTAACACAATTCTACACTCTGAGTCATCAGAGATGAAGATATCCATTTAAAGCATACCTGGATGATAATCAGAAGGCAGATACCAGGGCCAAGATCAGAAGGATCACCGTACATTCCAGTCATAACATACACGACAGCTTGGCCAATGGTAATGATCATACCAAACACTAGAGAAAGAAAAGATTTGATTAAAAAGAGAAGAAAAGGTATAAGGTATGTGATGTGCCTTTCTCAGTTACTTACACTTTTGAGATCCATTGAAGAGAGCTCTATCTTTTGGACTGTCACCAACTTCAATAATTTTAGAACCTGCCAAAAGCTAAAAGAATGTATCAAGTTAGAACTGAGTATAATTTTTAACTAAAAGAAAAGGTGTTAATAGCTTCTTACAAATACAAGAATTGTTTCAAGGATAATAATTATATCTCAATAAACTCAGAAATATGTAATCATGCTTCTTCACATGGACTTAGGCTTACAGTTTAGTGGTATAGTTAAGTTATTGTTCTTGGTTTCAAGTCTTTCTTTAATTTCTATTTCATAGATACTGTCATACTTTCTGATCATCAAGATACCCAGAAAAAATTTGAAACACAATTACAACTGAGGAACGGAATAAACAACCAAGACCTCATTAGTAATTCTCCTTGATGTGTTACAAACAATTCCTATGATGTATGTTGGGAGAATTTGGTATTGGCTCAACTAATCCTCTAATAAATATTTATCTTTATTTTCATCACTTTTCTGTGTGGCATTGTATTGACATTGGCAGTAGAAATTCTGTCTTGGTCACTCATGAATTGTAAAGAATGAAACTGAAAATGCTTATCACTCAAAAGTTGGAAGACACTACTATAACGAAAAAGCTTATAACAATATTATTTGTTCCTAATAAGTAAGAATAAAACTTAATTCGTAGTTATCAAGTTATCCAAACCTGCATAATAAGTCCTGAAGTGACAATTGGGGATATACCAAGCTCCATGAGGGTACCTAAGTGAAAAAAGGTCATATTTTTTTCAACAAAACCAATAGTAGTTATACAGAAAGGGTTTGAACCTGAGGGTAACATGTGCTAAGTAGTCTGATTGTCCAGGTGAGTGTAGTCCTGAGAAGGACTGTTGTCTCAAGTGGTGACTGATGTTTCAACAACCCGAGTCATCATCAGACTTACAACATTATTCACTAGACTCTGATGGTGACTTCTCCAGTTGTTGAAATGTCAGTCACCACCAGCAACAATGGTCTTTCTCAGGACTACACTCACCTGAAAGATCAGACTACAAAATCACAATAGTAGTAAGAAAATAAAAAATGTTTCTGAACAAAATGAATGGAAACATTTGCTCTGCATCTTTTATTCCTTCTTCTTTTCTCTCTAAAATTTACTTATATCTCGGCATCCCCCAAAGGCAGAGCTCAAGCCAGTTTGGCAAGATTTCAGAACAGCCCTATATTTCATTACACTAACAATTCTTAGATAGAGAAAGCAACAGTGGACACAGTTAATTGCCTTAGGGAATACAGCTTTGGTTTAAGATAGTACAGGGTTGTATGAAAATCTTTCTACCAGTTTGACTGATAATTACAATTAATCCAAGATTAATAATTATAAAAATGTCTTATTCCTTGTCCTTGTGAAGGACATCTCTATCTAAGATATTAAACCTAATAAGCTCTAATTTGTACCGGTCCAAACATCCACTATCCCATAGAGGGATGCGGTATCAAACAAGAAATAAATCAAACAACTTCTTGGATGATTACAAAGTATTCAGATGCATACTGAAAAATTCCAATAAATGAAACAACAAAAAAGTAAGTTAAAATCCAACAAGTATTTAAAGCAAAATCACGATTTTGAGAATTTAGTGGCAGTTAGAACTTTAGAGTTCCAAACATAACAATGGAAAAAATTCGTAAATTAAACAGCATTCAAATTCTTTGAATTTGCAATCCTTAAAAGCACGTTGAAGAGAGAAATTTTTTCTGTAGGAGGTTACATTTTCATTCAAAAGGGAACGAACCATAGTCGATCAGGGAGATTGTATTCTTCGATATTCTTATCAAGTTTAAGAACATAACACTATTTTACGGTCATTTTTAACAGTTATTTAACTTAAACCTTTTGTACCCGTAGAAGAATACTGTAATCACACAGTTATTTGACCTATTTATATCAAAATTGGACCGGTAAACAGTTATTTGATCCACTGTATTTATATCAAAATTGGACCGGTAAAAGTTATCAATTACCTCTGTTCGAAGCTAAAATCACTCGCATCCAGTAGAAGGGATCAGCTGAATCCGACGACATAATGCCAAACAAAGGAATCTACGTAAAGAGAAAGAGTAAGATTAAACCTCTTATTTGATCGATCTCAAGAGAATCATAGAGATGATAGCTCTTTACTATTAGCCTTTTGTAAAATGGCGGTTGCAACAAAGGGCCAGTCATGAAGAATATCAATTATTCTTAACTTCCTATCTATAACATGTGATTTTACCAACCTGGCAGCAGACAAGAAAGATAAACAGCGTAATCGCCGTCCATAGTACTTTCTCTCTAAACTGGATCTGTAAGAAACAGAAGGTGGATTGATTGAAAAATCTCGAGTAACAGTATCCAAAGAAGGCAACCACACGCGGATGTACACGTACACCAAACGGACATAACCAAACATTAATTCACTTCCAAGTTGCCTTCAACAAAAGACACTCAATTTAACAATAAATACGAAGAAGAAACTAACTGAACGCTTACAGGGAGATCTTGACGAAAGACTTACCTTTCTTTCGGGCTTTGAGACCTCAGGCAGAACGGAAATAAATGGTCGTAGTACTTCGAGAAATTTTACTGTGCACGAGAAAAAGATCACACATTATCTCGCGGCCAAAACGGGCAGATTGCTTACAAATGACGACAAAAATGAAATCAAGAATATTCAGGACACTTACCACCCATTTTTATAATTTTTTTTCTGGCCAAAAGATTGGCGGCCTCGATGGAATGAAATAAGAAATTCAACTGTGGTCAGACAATGGCCACAGCTAGTGAAGAAGAGGACGAAACACGCAATGCGCAAGCTTTTACGTCATTAGTTCCCAGGCTCTTTGGAGACCGGAACACAAAATGTGCTAGCTCAAACAGGAACTGTAAGCCGTACTAGTATAGTTGTTGGTGTCCCGAGGGGGTGAGGGGACCCTCAGCGGACATTTCTCGAAGTTCTCCAAATAATGTTGATAATAATATTAGTGTAAGCAAAACTAGTAACAATAGTAATAATAAAAATATTAATGATAATAGTAGTGAAAATATGGTGATTGATAGCGTCAGTATTGAAGCTTCTTCTTCGTCGTCTGCCGAGGTCGAGGACTCCTTGGACGGCTTCATTACAGTCACCAGGAAAAACCTCCGACCAAAACAAGCCTCTTCGAGGTCAGTGGTTCCCACGGCTGCGATCATTGCCGCTGAGTTAAAGAAACGTTCTACTCCAATCCTCCTCTTTGCGGTTCCAAAGAGGAGGCAATCCGAGTGTTGTCATAGATGGTAATCGTGGTGCTTACTGCTCTCATCTTCCGTCCTTTCAAGCTGTTACAATTGTTTTGTAATAATGCTTTTGCCATGCCTTCTCTTGTTTTACGTAATTGTTTTATTAGTGTTTTGTTTTTGCGTTAGCAGTAGTAGGGAGTGTGTACGTTTAATTTTTGGTGTGGTTGTGGCTAATTTTTAGTAGGTGGGGTTCGATTACCCAACGAAGTTGGTGTCTGGTGACCCTCACTGCACTAATAGAGTTTGTATAGTTGCGTGGAAAATGCTCCGATAATTTTGATATCATCCTGCATACAAACATGTTCCTATATCAGAACGAGTAGTTTTATCGCCTGCTCTTTTGTTTCATCTAAAAATACTAATGCCAGTGATAGTTTGCCATGAGCCAAAAACAACACCAATATATTGTGATTTTGTTAATAACTGTAGACTTCTCTGAGAGCAACTGAATGAGTTTCTTTCCTTTTTGTAACTATTCCTGGAGTCACTATCTAAGGAACTACTTGATGAAGTGTCTTGATAGTATTCGTGAGTATTCCTCCCAAGGAAAATTATTTGGAGCACCATGCACTATGTAAGCGAGGGAAATGTATTAAGAGTCTACTCAGAAATCAACTACATCGTATAAGAAATTTTCACGAGATAAGTAATAGTTCGCCTTCATTTTCGATACAATATTGTCATCGGTTAATGCGCATGCGCATGCCCATAGGCAAAAGACCAAGAAGAAGAAAGGATCTGGGTTCGAGATTGTTCCCACTTGCGTTAGCGTACCGTTTTCGACATACCGCTGTCACATTTACGTTAATGGTAGCTCTGGTTTTCCTTCATAACGTACAAATCTTTCGCCTTTTACTAAAGATTTCCGTGGAGGAGAACAACTGAATGAGTCTATAAACTAATTTTTCATCGTCCTGCCTTTCGGCGGGGCTATCTTAAGAAGCGGAACAAGTATCATTTCCTTGCACCATCTCCTTTTCGGTTTATATTCAGAGGAACTCCTGTGCGTACCTTTGGTCTTCTCCTATCTCCTTCTTGTCTGTAAATACTTTATGTGGGATCAGCGTAACGATTTCCGTCTCTGCGGTGTGCGCCCAAGCGCCTCTTGCTTGCATCCAATCTCGAACTCCTTTCTATCTTCCCTTGTTGGCAAAGTGTTTCACTGCTTTTACTAAAGATTTTCGTGGAGGAGAGAGTTTATGAGTCTAAAGACCAATTTTTCGTAGCCCTGCCTGGTGGCAGGGCGTCTAATCGAAGTTATTTGATTTTGCCTCACCCAAAAGTTAGATAATTGTTGACATTATGTTAGCACTGCGTGGAACTCTGGGATTGATGACTTCTGCGCAGTTCGCTAACATCAATTTTATTTTTTGCTGAGTTTTTTACTCGCGCGACGGACCAGGCCGAAAATGAAGAATTGCTCGCATTCTAATTCCGACCTCTTTTACACCCGTTCCGCACCCACGATTACCAGTCAACCATCTGGAAACTCCTTGCTGTAATAGTATAAATTGTTGGTACAGAGAAATTTTAAATACTGGGTTAGGGGGAAGGGTGAGGAAGTTTGTCTGCAGCACTGAGAGTCCAATCCATTGTTTCCGGTCAGCATAAAGGAAATGAATCATACAAAGAACTGACAGAAGCCATATAAACGAGGAATATTAGCATTTCCTAATGGTGGACAGGTTCGTCTGCGGCGGCTTGTTAAACATAACAATTCAGACACTTCTCGAAGAGCCTATCAAGTGTGTGGATTGGGACAATGTTACTCGCCGGCTATCACACATTTTTACCTCTGTGGATACATTTATTATGCATAAATTATTTTACTTTACACTCACTTATCGCCGAACACGGCATGTATCGAACTTCATTTATTAGAATAATCAACAAAGACGTGTAATGTTTGCTGCTGACAGGCGCTGATACCCTTTTTCCTTTGTCTGAACCCCACTTTTTTTGTGTGTGCTTGCCTTGCACAGACTAGAATTTCATCTATAAAATGCCAAAACAACCATAACTATATTTGGAACAAGAGAAATACTCTAAACCAGGGTAACCAAGATTTTTCCGGGGGCTTTCGACTTCTTTAGGACGATGATGTGCATGCACACTCCATAAATTGTTGTGACATTCTTTGTGACCGGTGTCCCATATGCCTTTTGCGTTGCTTTCAATCTAGTGCCAGAATTCTCCATTTTTACGTTCGCTCTGGTTCTCCTTCAATAAGCGTACTAATCTTTCGCCTTTTACTAAAGATTACCGTGGAGGAGAGCAACTGAATGAGTCTTGCCCTGCCTTTCGGCGGGGCTATCAACTGGAAAAAATAATATGAAATGATTAGAAAGGCAAAACCAAGGGAAGGTTTAGATAGGTGTTTCCCTATGATGTAATACGTACAGGCATATGTACATGTACAGGCATGTTCCAATTGCTTTAGCTCAAATATGTTAAGCTGACTGGTACTTTCGTTTTTCCCCAGAAGATTTCAGTCGAGAGGAGGAAATAAATGAGTACTTTAAACCATAAATTCGTCACCTTGCATGTTGTTGGGGCTTTATATCATAAATAATATAAAGCTGACAGGAAAGAAAGTAAGTCTGTAAACGTTTCTTCAGTCTTGTTCGTTCTGATCGTTTTCCTGGGAACATTATCTATTGTCGGATACCTCCCGTGTTTCTACGCAAATTTTATGATGCTTCTTATAACTTCAAGGCTTTCACATATCTTAGAACTCGGTGCGCATGCGCATAAAGGATAAATATAAATCCCACTTGCGTGAGCGAGTCATCTTCAACAGACCTCTGTTAGGTACAACCTGCTATTAACTCTAGTTTTCCTTCATCACGCACAAATCTTTCGCCTTTTACTAAAGATTTCCGTGGAGGAGAACACTCGAATGAGTATGTAAAACAATTTTTTGTTGCCCTGCCTTGAGGCGGGGCCATCATGAGAAGTGAAATTAGTTTTTGATAGAAACTCGTGATAGCCATGCACAATATTTCTTCTTAAGCTTTATAGGGATCAGACGAGGGCATTACTTACTATCAAAAAATTTCAGCGCGGGAGCACTAAGCGGATTCGGCGCCTCTGATCTGATGCCAAACAGTTGGGGAAAGGATTATCATAGGACAACCTTCAAGCCTGTGGACTAGAAGCGTGCTGGTCGAACTTGAAATCACGAAGGATGCAAGAAACCACGTGGGCTAACGAAAGAACAAAATAAATAAATTCATCAGTGACCAACGGCGGTTGAAGGATCGTCGAACCCGCTCTGACGTCGCTTGTGGGAGTCAAAATCTGTAGCAAGCTCAGTTAGATGCGAAATTTGTAGAGACGAAAAAAGTAGACTCCATTATTGTGCAAGATCATCTTTAGGCAGGAATGAGAGACCAATCTCTCGATGGCTAAAATTCCTTCACTAGTGCATGTAGCTTCTTGCATCCTTCAGACTCAAAACAAACATCCTAGAAGTCCACAAGACTGAAACAAGACGTGGCAGATCGGCGAAAACCTCAATCGCCGCACCGGACACACCTGGCGTAAAAAATCGCCAAGTGTGTCGCCGGCTCTAGATCGATCTTTGCGCCGAACGCCGCCTCGCCGTTTGGTATGAGATCAGAGGCGCCGAGTCCGCAAAGCCCTCCCACGCGCTGAATTGTCTTTAAGACGCAAGACGCCTGAAAATAAATTCATCCCTATTGTTATTTCTCAGACATCAGGTTATTGTTGTTCATTTAAATAACATTGCAGTACGTTCATTTCAACTGGGAACATGGTAGGTATAATGTTCCCTACATTGCACACATTGAAGAGATTTACGCCATGGAATGAAGGAAAAAGAAATAAACCTCCCCTCTCTCTGCAGGTTTAAGTCTTCTCGACTTTGCTTTTTTTCTCCTCTAAAAATTTTGCAAGTGACTGAGCTAGCTGCAGATGTTAGAATTGAGATCTAGTTCCATGAAAACTTTATCATTTTACTAAAGGGTCCCGCCGCTAAGCAGGGCGATGAAAAATTGGTCTATAGACTCATACAACTGTTCCCCTCCACGGAAATCTTTAGTAAAAGGCGAAAGATTTGTGCGTTATGAAGGAAACCAGAGTTATCTGTAAGGGGATGTAAAAGCAGTATGTCGAGGATGACTCGCTCACGCAAGTGGGGTTTATATTTATCCTTAATGCGCGTGCGCAACAAGATATGTGAGAGCCTTGAAGTTATAAGAAACACCGTCAGGCGGTGTCTTGCAATAGGTAATGTTTCCAGAAAAACGATGAGAGCGAACAAGACTGAAGTAATGTTTACAG